AATATATATACTTTGTGGGGTCTGCCACGCCTCCTTCTGCCTGTTACATACTTTTAACAAAACCATTATACCCTGATTTCCCATTTTCAATGGGTTCAGGGTATAAAAAGTGCAACTAATTAAATTTCTGGTTTTGCTTAAAAAAAAACTGTTCCCTCTCTAATTGCTCAGAGTATTAGTAGCATGTATCTAGAGCTTCTTCGGTTTCTAAATTTTCTTATTGAAATATGTCGGAGGCCAAAATATACATATATAGCTGAATCTACTTCAAGTAAATTTTCTGCATATCTAAAACTTCTTTGCATCATGACTGTATATTTGTAGATCATTAGAGTATATCTAGGCCTTCAAATATATATAATACATACTTTTTCAAACTTGGAACTTCTTGGCATATTAATATATCTATATATATATTTAAAAATTCCCTTAATTGTGGTTCTATTCATTATTATAACTCCTTAGAGAAGGTCCCTTAAAATTCCTGAAGTACCAGACTCCCAGAATTCTTCACCGTTTCCTGTTCTAACTTTTACTATGAATTATTTTTATTAACTAATCTTGCTCCTAACTTTATAATAATATTTATAATATTAACCATCTCTCGCAGGTTGTAATCGCCACCCAAGTGGCCGTTGACAGGGAACTGCTGGCCATCTCGGACAATATGTTCGTGCACAATAACTCGAAGCACGGACGCCGCGCCAAGCGACTGGACACCACGGAAGGTACAGGCAACACATCCCTGTCCATATCCGGTCACCCCCTAGCGCCCGACAGTACCTACGATGGTCTGTAACAAAATTCCAATTACTCGATCAGTTAGTTTAGTTAGTTCCATTTGTGGACGACTCTTATTTCGCTTTTGTTCTTAGCGATTTTCATTTTGATTCTGTAGCAATTGGCAACTCGAACCCGTTTCTTGATTTTCCTTCTGTTGAACGATCTGTTGATCAACGCCCAGCGAAACGAACCATCCAACTGACCATCCAACGGTCCTCTATTTCAGGCCTCTATCCACCTCTGCCCGTGGCCACGCCCTGCATCAAGGCGATATCGCCCAGCGAGGGCTGGACCACAGGTGGCGCCACAGTCATCATTGTGGGCGACAACTTCTTCGACGGCCTGCAAGTGGTGTTCGGCACAATGTTGGTCTGGAGCGAGCTGATCACCTCGCATGCGATACGGGTGCAGACCCCGCCGCGACATATACCCGGCGTGGTCGAGGTGACGCTCTCCTACAAGAGCAAACAGTTCTGCAAAGGCTCACCCGGACGTTTCGTCTATGTCTGTAAGTATAGATACTGCTGCCCGGCAGCCCCCAGCCCGAAGCATGTCTAAGCTTTCCGTTTGCATTCCGATCGATCAAGCAGCTCTCAATGAACCCACAATCGACTACGGCTTCCAGCGACTGCAGAAGCTCATACCCAGGCATCCCGGCGACCCGGAGAAGCTGCAGAAGGAAATCATTCTTAAGCGCGCCGCAGATCTCGTCGAAGCTCTCTACTCCATGCCCAGGTAAGCCGCCTCAGCCCCCCTCGCCCGAGCGAGAAGTATCGTAATGCTTCGCTTGCCTCTCAGCAGATCACCCGGCGGCTCCACCAGCTTCAACTCATACGCCGGCCAGCTGGCGGTGAGCGTGCAGGACGGCAGCGGCCAGTGGACCGAGGATGACTATCAGCGCGCCCAATCGAGCAGCGTCAGTCCACGCGGCGGCTACTGCAGCAGCGCCTCAACGCCACACAGCTCGGGTGGCTCGTACGGCGCCACAGCAACCACCGCTGCCGTCGCAGCCACCGCGAACGGCTATGCGCCCGCACCGAATATGGGTACTCTATCCTCATCGCCTGGCAGCGTCTTCAACTCCACTTCAAGTAAGTGCCCTAAGCGTGCCTCTAGCGTAATCTGAACTGATCCTTTGATCGGTGATCTAGTTCCTGTATATTGAATAGTTGAGAATCTGATATTAAACGTTCATGGACTAAGTAATCTAGAAGTGAGTTATATAAACTGTAGAAAGTCTATGATTTCCATATCATAGAAAGATCTATGATATTGATAAGAAATCATCAGAAAATTGAGAAATATTTCTCATGAATATACATATAATATCTAATATGTATTATACAAATCTATATAGGTATTTATTTAGCTCTCATTCTTTTATAAATCCTTTCAATCTTTAATAAAGCTATCAAAAATTTTAAATACCTCAAATATTATCCAAATACCCATTGTACATACGTTTTATGTACATTTAAATATTATTTATTAAACTTAATTCTCCATGCATTACAAAAATATAAATGCATAGCATGAAGTTGTACAAACTCATTAATTAAAGAGAGTTCGACGTTAATAGTTTGCTCAATTTGGATAAACGCTTAGCATATAGTATTTGTTTTATAATTTTCACAACCACTCAATCACTCATGAGATACCCGAAACAAACAAAACTACTCAAATATACTATATACTCGCCCCACACCTACCCCGCCCCAAAATTCGCCTACAAAGTGAATCAAAATTTGCTCAGCAAGTGCATTTTCGACATTACTCCACCAACAGTGACGACGCCTTGGCACTCGGCTCTAGTGCAACACCATCATGCCACCGCCGCAGTCGCCCACCCGCATCACTATCCGCATCCGCATCAGCCGTGGCACAATCCCGCCGTGTCAGCAGCGACTGCGACGGCCGTTTAAGGACTGCAGGATGAGGCGACATCACTGATTGCATGGAGCCTGGAGCAGGGATGAGGAAACAGCCAATGCAGCCAATACACCTACACACGCACACCCAAGCATACACACAGAGCACAATCTTATCGGCAGCGACGCCCCCTAAATGCTTAATCAACAATTGGCGCCATCTGTTGGTCGGTAGCAGCAGCTGCTGCTATGATAACAGTGAATATCATCAACTCCAGTTCCAATTCCAATTCCAGTTCCAGTTCCAGTTCCTGCGACAACTGCATTGCGTGAGTGTTTAAGATTCCGTCGTCGTGTCTGTCATAAAACACATACACAACAGCTACAACAACAACAACAACACACAACAAAACACACGTTTGCTGGTATTTTTAATTTTTTTTAAACATTTTTATAATGCTTAACTCATATTGAACTATGTATAAATATACATATATTCATTTTCATTTGGAAAGAAAAATATTTATTGGGAAGGAAAAAAATATATTCATGTTACAAGATGTCAAAATCCTGTATGATTGAACATAGAATATATCGAAATCTGTAACACTAAGTAGCTGACTTAATTGAAATTTGAATCATCTGGATAGCTACATTAGACCTCCAATTTTTAAGGAATATATATGTATAACACATTAAGCCATGAGAGACTTAGTTATACACCCAATATGTATATTCTCAGCTTTTAACAATTTCTTTGGTTTCTTTTACTTGCAGGAGTCAGCAGCTTGAGCTTCAATCCATTTGCCCTGCCCACCTGCAACACACAGGGCTATAGCACCAGTCAGCTGGTGACATCCAGTAAATAATATTATTAAGTTAGTCGGATGTCCTTGCTGGAGCAGCACTCACATACTCCAAATGTAACCAATGAAAATAACACAAAAACAAAAAGACGCTCGAAAGTGCAATAAGCGAATAAAAATATGTTTCCAATATTCAATAATATTTAAAATAAAATTACTTTAAATATTTATTGAAAAGAAAAACAAAAAATAATGAAAGCAAGTTGTTTATTTTTGATTGATTACATTTTTTGATAAATGTCCTTGTAAATTAAAATAAAACAAAAAGAGAAACTGTTTTAAGTCCATATCAAACTAACAGAAAACATATGAAAAATATTGAGAATAAAAACCCATTCATATCATATAATAATATCATAAGAGAATGTGAAAGTTGAAACGGAGCCAAGTCGACTCTCTGCACATTTCAGCTATGCTTGATTAATCTGTATATGTACATATACATATATATGTATAAATTATTTTATTTGGATGTAGTAATCAGAACTGTGAATAGAACAAAATATACCAATTTACACCTATATATACCAACACAAATACGAACCATCTGAAAGTAATACGAAAATATTATACAAATACAAAAACATGAAACTAACATAAATCAATTTTGGATATATCTAAATGCTTGTATACGAAAATTAAATACCAAAAATGAAAAAACATAAACTAATATATAAATAAATATACATATATAGATCTTTTTTATTTTGTTCACAAAGTTCAAGCAGTTTATATCATATACCATATCATTTTTCAAAAGTTATACGAAAACAAAGAAGCCCAAAATAAAAAGTCGAGCACGAACCGTAATCAAAATGATAAATACCTACAAATAAAAGTTATAAAGAAAATATATATACGATTGGGACTAGCTAAATATACCCAAGAAATATTGAAATTCGCAAATTAAAATAAATTAAACTAAATAAGCATAAATCATACTTAACGAACGTTCTTTGGCAGTCATATAGGTGCACTTAATCAGATCCCATCATGCATTAACTAAACTCTTTCAAAATCAAAAACAATTTTCAAACTCATTCGCATCCACTATAAGGAAGAAGAAGAAGCGGAAGATTAATCAACTAAAGACATTTGTTGACTAGCCTCATTACATAGGGAATATCGTAGATATCTATGTACATATATATAGATATGATATTTGGAGGTGCATATACATATATATATATAAATAGTAAGAACATTGTTTATTACTCGATCTGTAGGATTTATTGTAATTGATATTGTATAATAATATATATGCCTATTTCTAGAAACAAACACATTGAAAGCTAAAATAATAATACATTATTAATATAAAAAACAAAAAGGAAAAAAATAAATAAAAAACATTTCTAGTTCTAAGAATGCATAAGCCATACGAATTAGCTCCAGAAATCGATTTGTAAATTATACTATACTAGTAATGCTCTCTGTTTTGTAAATCTCAACAAGTTATTTAAATAAAATTTATTTAAAACATATGTCAATAATTTTCTCAAATACGCTTTTAGACTGACTCTAAATATCCTGGACTTCACGTTGTAAAAAGCAAATACGTTGAGTCTGTAGCAACTGGGGAGTTATTTAAGTAGTGGAGCTATATCTCAAAACTTTGGAAGACATAGTGGTATCTGTTCTACTATATATAACTGCTTTGTGATGGCCAGCCCTTCTAAAAATATCGTTTCTGTTTTGAGTCCCTACAATTAACAAATCTCTACGTCTTAATACTACTGAAGCGTACCAACTAATCTTCCAAAACTCGAGTTCCTATCAAGAATGTTTCGCAAAATCAATTATTATTCACTTCAGAAAGTCATATTCTAAGAGAGGATTCAAGAGATGTTTTAGTAAATAGAATACAACATATTTCCTAAAATATAATTTTGAAGCATAGAAAATTTATCAGCAGGGAAGCTAACTGTAAGTCATTATGATAAGAAAATTCTGAATATCTACACATATAGATGTGTTTAGAATTAACCAAGATAAGCTCATTTATGTTTGCTGGGTAAGCAGCAGAGATAAAATTATTTAATTAAGTTATTTATAGATTTACAGTTACTACAAAATGTGGTCTTAAATTGCTATTTGGAAAACTGGCTTAGTCTGCTGTGAGAGGCGGATCTTACACAGAAAATATAGAAGTGTTATAAAGACACATTAACAATCGAATTGTTTACAAAACTTTTGTGTACAGTTGCAAGCAATTTAATACATCATTGCATAAACAAATTTAGAAACGTGAATATAAAATTACTTTGTGTTAATAAAAGTATACAATATTGTGGAGTTCTTAGGTAAATTTATTAGCGTTTTGTAAGTTTTGCATTAAATATCTGAATACATATACAATCTAAATTATCAATATGAATTCGTCTCTGCTCAGATGTGTGTGTGCTTATTATTAAATGTTCCAACAAAGATTGCAAATTGTACGTACAAAATACGTAAAAAAGAAACATTTAGCCTACATGAATAGATTGATAAGATATTTAATATATATATATATTTTTTTTTCTTCTTTTTTTAATGGTTTTTCTGTTTTGTTTTCATTTACTTCGTGAATAAAATTAAAAGTGATTTATGTATATCCGTAACTTATACTTTGCATTACTATTCAGCTTTAGACGCAGCCTCCTCATTCTCTTTGTACAAAATTTCATGTATTTTTGCGCGCACATACAGCTTGCGGTTCACTGACAATTGTCGCATACTCGAAACGAGGCTCATAGCAAAATAATAGTCATCGTCCTTCACTTGTTCCTCCTGCTGCTGTTGTATGATGTAGCTAAGCTGCTCGCTGACAGTGGTCAGCCGATCGATGGATGTTTCCAAATTGTTCTTCAGGGTCTTTGCAGCGCTTGTGGGCGCTGAGACCACGGTGGCAACAACTGGATTAGCATTGGATACTCTGTTGCTGGTCATTACAGTGACTTTGTCGCCTGTGTCTAGCATCTCGTCCTCGACCACTTGTATGGGACTGTAGCAGAGCGGATCTTCATTGTATATGATATCTTTGATGTCCTCGCTCACCTCGTCGTTCTGCTCATACTCTTCCCATTTCTGTGGCAGTGCACCAGATATGGATGCATGCACGTCAATTTTTGGTTTCGCCACACGCAGCGGCTCTCGCACAACTTTTGCCTTCGCTATGCGAGATGTTTTTTCTGCAGAGACGACAAATGAGAAACGAAAGCCACAAAAATTTATTAGTTAGGCTCTGCGATAATAAAATCAAATGTCAATTAATTGCCGGCTCGCAGCTGTAAGGCAGGGCTGGGCGTCTCATCGTTTTACGATAGTTTCCAATTGGGGACAGTCGCGCGGGATCGATAGGTGCGTCGTCAATAGGTCAATGTATGTTGTCGTGATAAGCGCCAGTTGCATTCTACGTTTACCTTTTTTTAATGTAATAACTGCTGGTCGACTAACGGGGCGCTGTTGTATGGGATTAACGAGCACCTCGTCAGCGTGCTTGTGCCTTAAGTGCGTCCACAAATTGGTCGTATTATTTCCCTTTAGATTGCTGGCCATGCCACCACGCGATATATTGTTGCCGCAATAGCGACAAACCGCAAAGTTTTCGCACTCCTCATTGATGTCGTAATGCTGCCACACACTGCTAACGCGACCTTTAGGCATTTTTATTGAATTTTCTTAATAAATTTTTGCGCTCAATTACAATTTTTTCCCACAAAAAACGCAATAGCGATGTTAGCGTTGTTGGCGACGGTGTTGAATAACTTTAACCAGAAACAGTGTTGCACAACGATATTTTATCAAAGAAAAAAAAAATAAATAACAAAAAAAATATCAACATTTATGATTGCATATACAAAATTCTATTCATTAATTTAAAGCACTCAAAAACTGATTTTTCTTTTTATGATTCATTTATTGATATGTAGGAATCATTATATCTGGTTTTCAATTCGTTCAACGAACTCTGCATTTTTTCGCACCTCAATTACCCTCAGCTGAGTGCATGTAATTGTTTGAGTCAATTTAAAAATTTAAGAGACGACGCGGCCCGACCGATTGTAATGCTTCGAATTATATATCATGTTAAGTGCAGAGCACATAACATATCACAACACTAGGAAAAGCGGTGGCGATGACAGCAACAACAATAATACTACCCGTCTCTGAACACGCGTGGCAGTGTGAGGGGACGTGCGTGAATATCAGATCCAAAACTTACCGTTAGTCGTGTGCAAGCATCTATGGCGCAATAGGCTGCCAGTTCCTGTTTTCCCGCTATAGGATAATAGATCGCCACAGGTTTTACAGCAGGCATATGGCTCTATTCGATCATCACAAGACACCAAGTTAAAGAATCTCCAAACGCAGCTCTTCGCATTTCGTGGTTCGACCAATTTGCAACGCTTGTCCCCCGACTTAAGAAGATTTCTTAGCTCCGATTTCTTTTCGACGTGCATTGTTGCTGTCCTATTTAGACGGTATCAACAAAAATATATACAAAAAGCAAAATGTAAAATGTACTTTGCGACACGCATGTCACGATTTTTAGTCACGCACAAAACCGTGTTGCAAACCACAACAGTCCAATCGATGAAAAACTTTACAGCACTAATATACAAGTGCACGAAAGTTATGACGTCACAAATCAATTTTTTGTTTTGCGCCTATGGACAAATAGTTCAAATTTTGTAACGAAAGTCGGAAACAGAAGCTGAATTCAAACATCAAATGGTTTCAAAGAAACTTGAGTCTTAGCAATGAAATGTAGTGTTTAAGCATTTGAACTATGTCTAGTTTTTAATATTTGTTAGTGAAATAATTTACATACATATATTCTTGAGAATTCTCGAGAGAGAGAGAGACTGAAAAGATTCTGTAAGGATAGTCACAATTCATATGCTATCACTCATTGGGCTCAGGTAATTACAAAATTAAATTAAGAATAAAGGTAATACAAATAAATAAATTAAATATATGTATACATATACATACATGTAATATAATAAGGTCAACAAATGATTCACACGATTCAGATATGTTGTAAGTTAATTTCTGGTGGATATTCGATAAGTGTTCGATAATCTGAAATTTTGGTTGCATATTCTTACAAGTTTGTATACTCCAAAATGTTAATAGCAGTATGTTTGGAATTTTTAAACTTGTGAACTCGATTAAAAATAAGTCGTTTTTTTTTTTTCAATTGTTTAGTGCTGCATAATTTCTATCTGTTTTTGTATCAATATCTTAGCGCCGATTGTTAAGGCGGTCGGTCGATAGTCATCTTTAACATTATTGAAATACAATCACAACATAAATATTTAGTTGACTGACAACTATTTCATTGAGCTACACTTGGGTAAAAGCAGCTGATTGAGGTGAACCGGCTCACTCGCTCTTTTTTGTGAAGTGAGCCAACTCACTCATATGGCTCACTGGCTCACCTGCTGATTGCTCGTGAGCCGATAGTGATCGCAAGCAACTTGAAAAAAAACTGTCAAAGTACTTTTAGCTCACTCATTCATGAGCTACCCAAGTCTACATTGAGCAATAGCATTGAAAATATAAATGTCACATTCGCAGTTTCAATTGATTTAGTTCGGAAATTATTTCTATCTGTGTGAGAATGATACTGTGCTGGCAAACCAATCCACTCAATTGAAGTCAAATGACACATGAATCTGCATAATATTGTGTGACAGTTTGATTGGTACGTATAAAAATTCAATATTAGCCAATAAATATATATGGAATTTCATTCATTTCAACTATTAATAGAAAATAAAAGCCGAATAAAATGGGAGATGAATTGGGCAGCTATGACACTGCGGCTATAAGAGACAGAATTAAGTGTGGAGAATTTAAAGTAGTTCCGAAACGAAGTCACAGTACAGTCTGGAACATCTTTTCCAGAGTTGTTGATCAGAATGCAACTGAGATTAATTATGTGATATGTCGTACGTGTCCGAGTGTGTTCAAATTTAATGGAAGTACTTCGAATTTGGTTCAACACAAATGCTATCTAAATTCAATCGAAGAATCACCGATCGAATCAAATGAATCACCCAATGAGGTGAAGAGAGGGAATGTCAATTATTGGAATACAATTGTGAGTGAGAGAGAGGATGTACAGAAATACAGCGGAGCGACTGCAGGCCCGTTGGATGAACAAAATGGCTCATCTGTAGTAGATAGTGAACCCAAGGAGAAACTTGCACTTCTCTTAACTGAGTGGATTGTGAATAGCTGTCGTCCATTGGATATTCTGGAGGATTCCGGCTTTAAAAAAGTGGCAGAATATTTGATCAAAACCGGTGCTAACTTTGGTAATCAACTCCACGCGGAAGAACTTTTACCACACACCGACATCTTATCTAAGAGCATTAATACACATTATGATAACTTAATGAAGAAATTGGACTTCGAAATGAGTAAAGCTATGGGCAATGGATACAGCCTAACCTGTAGCACCATGCCAGACAGATATATGAAGAAAACATACCTGTGCATGACCATGCATTACATCAAAGATAGCATACTAGTCAATCGCCTGCTTTCATTTAGCTGCCTCGAAGAGCTGGACTGCACAGGTCAGCATTGTTGAATTTATATTATATGTATATTGAATTCAGATTTAAACTTATTTTCGTCCATTAGGTTCTTTTCTGGAGGATAAAATTGAACAAATCTTGAGGAGGGACTTGAGGGACGATAAACCCATATTTGTAACTGTTGCCGATTCAAAGCTTAATGAATCATCCTTAGGACTTGAAGTCGTAAGCTGTATTAGTGATTTGCTCAATAAAACCATAGAACAAGCGTTCAGTGAAGTAAGCGAACTTAAAGAATTCTTAATTAAAGGCAAAGAACTGACCAATGATTTGCAAGTATCGGGCGCCCGAATAAGCTTAGAGCATGCACTGATCAACGATGTTCCATCCAGATGGAACAGTATTTACCATATGCTCAACTCGATAAAAACCTTTTGGGTGGATTCGTGTAGAGGGGACAGTGTTGAATTGGAAAATATATTCTGTATGAAATACCATGACTTTTCGGCAATTGTTGAGATTCTCAGCCATTTTGTGAAATGCAGGAATATTTTGGAGGATGAAATGTTACCAACTTTGCATTTGGTCATTCCAATTATACACAGATTGCGAAAGCTGTGCAGCAGTTCATCTTCCAACTTAATTTTAGCTAAAATGAAGCTTAAGCTGAAAGAACTTTTGGATGAATTATCAAACCAACATATTCGAAAACATCACAAAATGGCCATGTACTTGTTTCCACCCACCAATCAACTGCTGCAGTGCACCCAGGCCGAAAAGGAAGAGATAATAGAAGAATGCAAGCTATTAATGAAAAGATATTATCTTTTAGAAAGCGAGCATAGAGAGGAGGAAGTTCACATCAAACAAGAAGATGATGATGATTTGTTTTCGGATTTCGTTATATTGCCTAAAACAAAAGATAAAATTATTTTAGAGATTCGAAGATATTCCAATCTTCAAGTGCCTCTAGAAGGATGCAATGCTTTACGCTGGTGGAACATCAACAAAGAAAATCTTCCACTATTATACCGCGTAAGTTGCAGCATTCTGGGCACACCTGCTTCTAGTGCAGCATCTCAAGAAATATTTGATAAGGCGCGAAATTTATTAAGTGATCGCAATCATAATCATGAAATGACTACTAAAATAATATTCATAAATAAAAACTAGACATACAATAAAATGTATTTATCTAAAAATAAGAAATGTATTAATACACGCACTACGGTTTAATACTTTTATAATTGATTGGTTTTCTCTATATCTTAAATTATTTTAATGACTCATTTGATTCAATTTAAGAATAGCGTTGCTGATGGTTTGATAAATTGTGGCGGCAGGTCGATTGGACAACAATATACTGCTGCTAGTGTTAATAAACGCCGTCTATCGACGCTGTCAAACACTTGCATTCAGAGAAAATTTTGGAAGAGCAGCAGCTAGTTGTTATTCGATATAAGTCCATTTGTAATTAAATAGAAAGTGTTAAATTGAATGCAAACCGAGCGCGTAACGTGTAAAATGCATTTGTATGAATCCAAGCGGTAAAGCAATGTTAAATATAAGAAGAATGTGCGTTTACCACGCACACATATCAACATTTTTCGGTCATCATTTCGTTGCTGCTCGCAAACTGACGTCAACGTTGGCGTCGCTGCCGCAGTCGCCGTCGCCGTCGTCATCATACGCCTAGTCGCCAATGAGAGCGAAGAGCATAACAGTGTCTACCAGTTCGACGGCGTATCGCGCATAAAAGAGAGAGAAACAACGGCGAGCGCAACAGCAACAACAAGCAAGGCAAAAAAAAAAAAAAAAATGTTTTCATTTATTACTGCCTGCAATCGCGGAAAAGTGGAAAATTGCAAAAAAGCGAAACTGCCACACTAAATATTGTGCATTAATAATCTTAAAACTAACGTCAGTTGATCAAAAAGTGCGTTTCTGTGTCTATTCTGACCCCTATTTGCAACAGCTGATGCTGCGACAAGCCACTAAAAATCATTGCCACCTCTGCCGCTGCGTAGCTGCTGATGCAGTGCACTGCGCTGCTCTACTCTGCTCAGCTCTGTGCTGCTTCGCTTCTGTTAGTCTGTTATTCTGTTATTGTGCCAAGCACAATTCCACGGCAAAGCCAACCCCCTGTTGCCGCCCACTGCAAAGTTCGCCCAGTGAATGATTCACAGTTTTCCTTTGCTACTTTTCTTCTCTTTCTATGTTTTGTGTTACTCCGCATGTTGTTGCTTCTGTTGTTGCTGTTGCTATTGCTGCTGTTACTGTGCTTCGCGAATAGTTGGCAAATGCGTGCGCGCAATTAATTTCTGCGAAAAATTCACAAAATATGTAGCTGTAAAAGTGCTTATAAATATTTATATATAGTATATGTTTGTAATGATGTGTTTGTGTGTGCGTGATTTTAGGCTGCTCGACGGCTGAAGTGAAAATTCCAAGCCAAAGAGAGAAAAAAGAAGCAGAAGAAGGAGAAAAAGAAAGAGAGAGATAGTGCGAGTACGAGAGCAGAAACCCCAACACAATAAGGAAAGTGTGGAAAATACAACAACGACAGCGACAACAACAACAATCAACTGCTCGGCCAGTGAAGAAAGAAAAGTGAACTGCAAGTGCAGCGGAGACTGGGCGTCGGACAGCCAGTGACATCCGTTGCCCCCGCTGTTGCAAGTGCAACTGCAACGGCAACAACAATTTCATCGAAAGAATTTTAGTCAAAGCTGTTGGCTCGGTAAAACGGTAAAGTGCAGCGTCATCATCGTCATCTCCCATCTCCAAGATGGATGCCGAAACACAGGAAATACGACAGGTAAACATATTTTTAGCCATTACATATGCCAAACCCCCCTGCTTTAACAGAAACTAATCCATGCTGCTGTTGTTGCTGGTGTGCGTGCGCTCCCACACACAGACTCGCTCACTTACATATGTATGCATACAAGTGTGTGTATGATTGTGTGAATGTGAGTTTGTAAGTGCTTCTAATAAGTCATTATGTATGTATGTGTGTGTCTCGCAAACTAAATATCGCGCTCATTAAAATTCCTGCACCGACTGAGACTTCGATGCCGCTGCCGCTGCCGCTGCCGCTGGATGTGCCGACGTCGCTGTTGTAGCTACTCCCCAAAGAGTTGGACGACGACGTCGCCGTCATTAATTCGTTTAACGCCTTTGCAATGCGCTCATCAAACGCTGCTAGCTTGTCTGCCGTCTGGCCATAAGCGTAACGGCATAGCGACGTCGACGCCGACGTTGACGTTAACGTTCAGTCAGCCACCTACTCTCTTTGCCAAAATGGTGCGCTGAGGTAACCGCTCACGCCACGCTGCCGCCGTTGCCGCTCCCACTGACCGGCCAAGTAATTGGCTAGCGCCTTAAAATGCGACCGACACCTACTTACCGTTTGACTGGTTTTAAGCCCAATGCAAACAACAACGGCCGCGTCAGCGTCAGCAGCAGCAGCAGCAGCGAAGTCAACAGTAACAGCGACGACGCTTGCAGAGCAATCAGTGTGGCCAGCTGCTACGTATTGGCATTGGCTGCCTGCTGGCTCGCTGCTGTTCAATCAACTTTAAAACTCCCATTCATAAATTGGTTCCGCAGCCGGAAAATACTTTTCAATGCGGCTGCTATTGCTGTTGCTATTGTTGTTGTTTGTGGCGTAAACGTTTGTTGTTGTTGCTGTTGTAGCTGCTGCCGCTGCTTTAACTGCTGTTGCATGACCTAATCGCTAAATAAAACACAGCCAAGAACAAACCTACATTTATATGTACATATGTACATATGTTTGCTTCTCTATAATGTACGCAAAACCAAGAAAATGAGACACACAACAAAATGTAACTGATTAACTGATGGTCTCACTTTTTGACAGTTTGGCAACCTTCAGAGCTCGACTCTTAGCTTTGAAATGGGTGTGTAGCTTGCTTGCGTGCGTGCTACCGGCTCTTGGCTCCCTTTCCCCCTCCCCCCTCCCCGTTCACTAAATTTGCTTCAGCTCCCTAGAAAGCTAAACGCCTCATAGACAATCGACTGTTTCCAACTTTTTATCTAGCTGCCATTCCAATAGCTGTTGTTGTTGTTGTTGTTGCTGCTGCTAAGCTCTTTAAGCAATTAGCGCATTATGGGCTTTTAAAACAACAAAAAATAAAAGAAAAGAAAAGGAGGCCCATATAAAATATAAGGCGCACGCTCAGCAGCCTCAAAACATTTGCCGACAATGTCTGCGTTGTTCTCTTCGCTCTCTTTCCCGTTCACTTTGTGCTCTCCGGCCTCTCGTTCTCCATTATCCAAAACACAAAAGTTCGCTCACAATTGTCAAAGCAAAGAGTTTTTGTGTGCTCCTTTTGCATTTATATTTAGCCTATCGTCACATTTCTCTGGCACGCCAGCCAAGAAGAAGAGCAACAACAACAACAACAACAAAAACAAGAGCAAGATAACGACAAATTCATAAATAGCGTCAAGCCGTAATTTGAATTGCGAGCACTTCCAATGTGAAGTGTGTATGGGTATTGGTGCACTCAAAAATACTCACATCCATGTCTGCACATGCACATACATACATACATACGTACATGTACGTGTGTGTTCCATATGTACTTATTTATACATACATACACCATGCTAGAAGCGACAAAAGTTGAACTATGTATCTATGCCATCCATGTGGGCGTTGAAGCCAACAGCAATTTATTATTGCCGCTGTGGCTGTTTGACAGTAAAATGTTTACATTTTGAAATTTGAGTTTCAAGCACGCACACAAACAAACACTTGAGCATTAGATAATCATAACAAAAGAGCTAAAATAAAAAATGCATTTTCTTGCCACTGTTGAATCTGGTGGAAAGTGTGTGAAGAAAAACTGGTTGCACAGGAAGTTTGGCCACCTGTCCACATCTGTTCATCTGTCTGTCCGTTCGCCATTCGACTTGTTGGCCAATTCGCATAGTTCGACGGTCTTCGACCTACGCCAACATATTCGACACTCGTTAACCTGTTGCTGGAAAGACTGCAGTACAAATGTATCGATTTTCAACTAAATATTCCTTTTATTAAAGGTTATAGATCGTAAATTGGGGTCACTTAGTTAAGAGCTCGATTAACTACATTTATTATAACTAAATGGTACTTTATTAAAATCAAATATAATTAATTCCTTATACTCTGTGTCCCATATAATTATTATATTAATTAATATAGGAGTTGATAATTTATAGACATGATTGGTTCTTTATTTGTATGACCTTGTTCAACCTCAACAACAAATAATTTTTTTAAATATTCTCGCATCAAAAGCCAGTTGAGGTCTTCGGATAATTCGCTCTTAAACAATATAGAAAACTTGTTTTGGCTAAACAGCAAAGCCCGTTGGAGCTGTCAGAAACTGCCTGCCAATTATGTTAACTTGTCTAATATATTACATTTATTATATGATTGAAAACCTACTCTCTATTTTTGAAAAGGAAATTATCATTTGACTTCCTCAAAATAAATCCACATTCAGTGAAAACTATTAATAATTCTGTTATTTGGTACAAAACAAATAGAAGTTCCTTATCTATCATTGGGTCAGTTTCACATGCCAACATAATCCGGCACTTATAAATCGTTCAAATATAAGTGAAAACTGATATTTGACTCTTTCTTATCGAGAACACATTCCTTAAAGACACTAAAATGTCGAACATATGTATGTTTGTTTTAGAATGGATTCGCCTGTCGATAAGACAAATTGAATCACTGTTAGAATTTGTAAGTCTTATCTATGAGTGCGTCTGCTGAATTAGATGATCGTTCAGCCAACTTGTTAAGAGATGAACGTTCTCATTCCGATTAGATTCCATTAGGAATCCAATTTAGCCAGACACAAAGAGCATGCTCCAAAAGTGGGCGTTACTTAAAGCGGATAACGGAGTGATTCCAGAAAGATAAAATAAAGATTTGACTTGATTCATAGTGAATCAGAGTTGAGAATTGCAGGTCTGGTCTGCAAATGAGTCGACTGAATCGTTCAAGTACTCTGTCAGATATGTCTGCTCCCATTCCGATTAGATTCCATTAAGATTCCAATTGCGCAAAAGGAGCAGTAAAAAGAACTAATAAGAGCTCATGCTCGAGATGCTTCTAAGAAGAAATGGGCAAAACTCAATGGCTGAGGCGTATAAAATAGAGTTGCAATGGAAATAACTCTCTGCACTTGAGATTCTCAAAAGATGCAACGGCTGCAAACGGCAATGGCAATAGCAAAAAGTGTTCACTGTTTGGCCACGGGCCCACGGTCTGGGCATTCCCTCTTTTTCATGCTGAGTGACCATCCAAGACAAACAGACACTCGGACAACTAGGCAGACGGAGAGACGGACAGACACAATGAAGAAACGGCGCACGCCAAGCCAAACACCAGCGAGTTTATCGAACTCATATTGAAGATTGTACGCATGGCTTCACACACATACACAGATGCAGCAGGGCACTGATACACACAGACCCAGCTGCGAGAGCGCACTACATAATTGCCTCGATATTAAAATGCAGTATTAAGTACGCCGTAAGGTTTGCCAGCCAACTGCTGAATTAATGCCTTCATTTCAATAACCTTCTCTGTTAGCCGGATGTAGATTTTGACGCAGCATGTTCAAAGAAATTGCACTCCAATTACATCAATCAAAGAGTGTGCAAAAAAAATCTGTATATATCTATATGATATACAGTATACAACCAATTCATTTCCATAGCTGAAATGGAAAGTCTTGCTTATGCAAATAGTATAAATGATATTATTTGACTGCTAATATTGAATAACTATTTAGTCTATAAGCACTTCTGTGTTTCCTCTTCTTTCTCCTCTATTAACAACATTTTCTCCATTGCTTTGCAGGCTCGTCAACGTGCTTCCGTCAAATGGCTGCTCTCGAAAGCATTCAACAATCGCGTGCCAGACAACCTTAAGGAGCCGTTCTATCGCGATCACGAGAACCAGGAGCGCCTCAAGCCACAAATCGTTGTGGAGCTGGGCAATGCGACGCTTTATTGCCAAACTTTGTCCAATTTGTACTCCGATCCCAACTACCAAAGCTTAAATCACTGGTCAATATTACAGACGCTAGCGCGCAAGGGTGTCCCTGTGGCCGAGTCCTCGGACATGCCCATTACCGAAACGGTATTAATTCAGACGAATCCGTTGCGAATTGTGAGTAATCCACGACAGTCCAAACATTAATTGAAATGCATTAATCAACTCGATTTTCTAATTGTTCTGTAGAACGCCCACATGTCTGTGATAGAATCGCTGATGGTTTTATATGCAAAGGAAATATCATCGGGTGACCGTGTTGTGTCGGCAATACGAAGGTATGTAGCAAGTCAACTTGTGTTTGTATGTATAAAGCTTTGCTAACATTCTTATGCACTTGCAGAATATCTGGTAGCAACTATCAAGCGCCTCCAGGCCAGTCCTACGAGCAGGGCCTGCTTGCATGGATATCGCATGCGTGCGCTGCGCTTAAGAAGCGCATTGTGAAGGAGCTAGAGTCAAGTGTGCCGGATGAGATCGTAAGGCGAACATTCATTCCAGTCGAATTCGCAATTTTAATTTCGATTATACTCTTTGCAGGGTACGCGTCTGCAGACGCCGGACATACCGCCAGTGCGGGATTTTCAGGATCTGTGCGACGGCATCTGCCTGGCGCTGCTCATTTCCTACTACTGCCCCAAGGTGGTGCCGTGGACGAGTGTGCGCATCAACTATTTGCCTGCCGTTGAGGACTCCATACACAACATACTGCTCGTTAGCAACTTCTCACAAAAGCATTTGCCATACGGCGTCTTCCATATGACGCCCGAGGATATAACATATATGCGAGGGTAAGTCCTTCTCGATGCACTCCACTCGATTATCATAGCTAACCTTATTCTTATTGACAGCTCAATGAAACTGAATCTGGTGTTGCTGTTGACGGATTTATTCAATTTATTTGAGATACACCCAGCCAAGTGCGTCTGTTACCCGGGCATGGATGGGCAGGGTAAGTTACAGACCATCTCAACTCAACTCATTGAACTATGCACCGCATCGCATTCCAAACTACCCCTCGACCCAACCCATTGGCCTTTGTGTGTTTTCATCTGGGGCATGTCGTGGTCCTCGTCGTCGTTGTCTGCGTTGTCTTTGTTGTTCTATGAAGTTTTGTTCAAAAGCATAATTTGCCTATGATTTGCTTTGCCTTTTATATTAATTTCTTATATATTATATTTGTTTTGCTTTAGTTTTTGTTTTATGGCTGCGTTTTGTAATAACGAAAGAGAAATTTAATCAGTTGATTTATTTAATTGGCTAACATTTCGATAAACTCTATGGGAAATAGAACACGTTAAGAAAGTATATTTTTACACTAGCAGATCGAGTCAGTCCTCCATCCTACTTATCGATTCGTAGTTCTCTGCCTATGAGTTGTTCTTTCTTTGCCTACACGCGAAGCAATAACCAAAGCAGCTTTACATTAGTTGTTAACAGTTTCACTAAGCAGATGTGCATTTTAGGATGGAGCAGCCACAAATTGAGTCACCCTTCGTTGATAGCACCTTTTCCACTGCCGCTAACCAGACCAGTAGACCATACGGAAATTGCTCTGATTTACTGCGGTTGGTCATCCCCATCACATCAATTGGCGCCCAACAATCATGTACACCACAATCATTTAGTTTTGATCATTTTATCCGGCTGCAGTCATCCCGCACGTGATCCATTTCGAAAGCAATATGAAGTAGTTAACCTAATGAACAATTCAATACAATACAATACAAATCAATTGAAATCAAATCAAATCAAATCAATTTTCTATTTGATTCTCTTTCTTTGTTTATGTGCAAACGCTTGTGCAAACCACAAATCACCTGAACTGAATGGGGTGCTAACACCATGCGCTCTCTCTTTATTCAACAACAATACACACACACACTGACACCCATGCAACTACAACGACAACTGCAACAACAACCAAAACACCAACAATATTATTATTGACAACAACAATTTCGTACACTTTGATCAACTGACACCTGGCTGACGTGTCGCGCAGATGTCATCCAAAGGCGGAGCCAGGGCGCCAATGAGCACGGAATCTGCCATAGACGGGGCCTCACCGTGCAACCCGTAACGCCCATACCCGACTTACGCAGCGATCTCGACCAGCCGCCCATGGGGTCACCCTCGAGTCGGCCGCCGTTTCAAGGTTTATCTCACTTTGTCTCTCATTCTCTCTCTATTAATTGCAAAACATGCTCGAGGGGTCCCCCCAGACCCCGAGAGTTATTTCTTTCTGTGTGTTTATTGTGTGTGCCCCGCCAACCCCAGCTCAAATTCCATTTGTTTGTTGCCTCGTTTCTTAACATGAATGTTTTGCATTTTCATTGTTTGCTGTTTGTTTAATTGTTCGTTTGCCTGTTTTGCTCATATTCCGTTTCTGATGTTTATTTCCCCCCTTTGCTACCCCCACCCACAATGCCGCCGCCGCTTTGCTCTTGCAATCTAATACTAAGCAATCGTAGCCCAAGTCAACTAATATCACAGCCAGCATTCAAATCGACACTAGCTCGTTTAGTAACAACTATAATATATCACTGCACCCATACCAAAAGTTGGAGTTGTTGCTGCCGCAGCTCTGCACACTCCTCTGTTTAAATTATTTCCTCACATGAGATCTTTAGCTCCAATGCATATTTTTTTAAAGCACTTTTTTGCAATGCATCCCAGAGACTTACACAACTAACTGACAAGACAATAGAATAATAATTATTATCAATTTTGAACTTTGATTGTGGTAAGTTAGAAGTAAATGGAGTGGAGTGTGAGTTTTTAGAGGTAAAAAAGTGTATAACTTTCAAACTAACAATCATTTTCTTTATAATTGATCAGCTCATCAGGAAATTTATTGAGCAATCCTTATAGATAATCTAGCTTTTATATTGTATAACTCAGATATACTTTTACAGTATGTTAAGAGCTTCCACTTGGAAAGATTGTCTGATTTTAATCATAAATAAAACTTTGAATTTAAGATCATTTAGACTGTATAGTTTTCTAAAGTAAACTTTTAGTCCATTGCTAGAGGTATATTACTGAAGATTTTTAGGGAAGTAATTCTCAACAATATTCTGTGGGCAAGTTTTCAATAGTTTCCCTAGACAGTCCACACGGATCTACGACCTCACTCTGCATTTGTTTATTTATTTTTTTGCTTTTGCTAATTTGCTTTGCTCATATGCATTGGCATTTCAAGTTTATGTGTTTTTATAGAATTGATTTTTATTTGTTTTGTGTGTATTTCCATTTGTATTTTTAGTTCCGCACACAAATTCATTTAGCGTCGGCGTCGGCAGCTTAAATCGCAGATCAACTCCGCCCACCGAGTATCAAACGATGCAGTCAAATAACTTTGATGGCAATCAGGCCGAAGGTAATTAACACTGGACTTTTATTTACAAGCTTATTTATTTTTATTTTCTATTGGTTTAACAATTTGTAAGCCGAAGTGTAAAGTTTTAATTTTAATTGAAATTATTTTGTTTTGTTTCTTTCTTTTCTCCTGAAACACCAACCGAACCATTAACCACACATGCTTAAAAACTGTCCGACTCCCACATCCACGCCCACCTGCACCGCAACGTGCTGCTAACGTGAACGTCACTGCCACCACCACCGTCGCCTCTCTCCTCGATTCGCATGTGTCAGCCTTCGTCGTGCACAAGTCGCGGGGCATTACCACACTTTCATCTATGCACTCGCAGCAGCAACAGCAGCAGCAGCAGCAACAACATTATCAGCTTCAGCAGCAACAGCAACCGCAGTCACAGCAGGAGCCCTTGGTTCCAGCTCGCTTGCGCCAGGCTAAAGAAAAGAACAATGTCGAGTCGAAGGCAGACGAGAGAGGTTTGGCAGACTTTTAACTCGTATTTCATATTATTTCGCCACACACACACACATTCGCGTGTCCGATCCCACAATTGCGTTAATTGAGTTCCAGAGTGTAGGCAACTGAATAATTAGCTGCATTACGTGTGTATTTATTCTATTTGAAGAGATAGATCATCGCCTCAGTGGTAGCTCAAGACAAAATATTCAGACTTGTCAGAGTTAGAAAAGAAGAGATTTTAGATTAGCAAGAAGTGAATGATTTAACTGCAGTAAGTTAAATCGATTCAGTTTATTCTAGGCATTACTTACGTATTCAAATGTCATTTACTGAGAAATTGCAAGGGAAATTAGAGGCATAGGCATAGGCATGCTATGGAATCATATATTTAAATAAATAGAAATACTTGAATTTTAGGTTGAAGCAACTTGATTGGAAGTTTCATGCAAGTGTAAGAGGAACTTTTAGATAATTCTTGAGTATTTTGATAGAGAGAAACTACATTTTAAGAGCTAAACATAGAATCGTGAATTGAAACACCAATAATGTTTTTTTAACTACACCAATATATATTCAATGAAAGAATATCTTAGAATAAAATATATTAAAATATAAAGTTCAGTTAATAGTTAGCAATAGGAAAAGTGAAAAGACTTCTCAACATTGAATTAACATAGATTCCCCTTAGAGCAATACCCTCGATCATAAATCACATTTTCTATTTTTATTTTATTTAAATTTTGTTCTGTTTGTAATCTTAATTATATTTTGCAAATCATTTGAAAACTTTCATTATCATTTTAGTTTGCATTAACCTTATGATTTTATTATTACATTTTGATTTCAAATTAATTTGATTCTTAAATTGACAATCGAAACAGGCGATTTTGTCGCTGCGGGTCGACCAAGTAACTGGGATCAGAACCGGCGTCCAAGTTTCGCAGGTATGCAAAAACAAATTCGTCATTAGTCGGTGTTTGAATTCCCGTGCGTGTTTGTGTGTTGAATGTACTTATATAAGATATTTAGTTATCTTCGCTTTTGGTTATCTATATTAACTAAATGCGAGTTGCTTTTCCCTTCCATTTGATCGACGAGCCCGTCAAGCGAACTGAAGACTAACTATGAATGATCACGTTTCAGGTCGTCGGTCGCGACGAAACTCCTCCAGCGAAGATTCGCAGCTGACGATCGAGAACTTTGGTGGCTCACAGGATCAGATAAACACGCTGGGACGCTACGAGCGTGAACGGGACAGAGAGCGAAAGCTATCGAACACAAGCGTGGGTAAGTAAAGATATATGAATCTATGATTCACTCATTTGCACTTTCTCAATTCGTTCTCTTTTATCAATTTTCAGAACCTGCCGTAGCTGTGCGATCTTCGATTGCAGATGCTCGTGGCACGTTGCAGCTAGGCTACGATACGGATTCGGGATCCGAAAAACAGGATCGCGAAACGGAAAAGTATTCAATGCGCCGACAGGCTAGGTGGGTGACCCAATAAGAAATCAATAGGAAAAGCAGCCCAATAACTATCTGTCTTCTCTTCAACAGCATCGACAATGTGCCCACAGCCTCTGCGCATAACCTGTCCAATGCGGGCAGTCCGTTGCCGGCGCGTAACAAGCAACATTCCATCGACAGGGGGGACTACTCGAACGCCGAGCACTACAATGACGCCCGTTCGAGTGGCTACGATCCGGAGAGTACGCCCGTGCGTAAGTCCTCGACCAGCAGCATGCCAGCGAGCCCGGCTACCTGGCAGTATGAGACGTGTGACGACGACCTGCGCTCGCTGGAGAATGCCACCAAGCTGTCGACGATGCGAATGAAGCTGGAGGAGCGGCGACGTCGCATTGAGCAGGATAAACGCAAGATCGAATTGGCAGTGCTGCGGCACCAGGAGAAAGTTTGTCAGGTTGGTAATCAAGGTGTTAGATTTGAACAGCCCTTGAGTTTAGTGTTTATAATTTAGTTTGTATACTTGTAAATGTTTTGTATTAATTGAAATTGTTTTATTTTTATTAGGAGGACTTGGAATCGTGTCCGGACGTCTTGAAGTGGGAGACCATGAGCAACGATTCAAAGCGCACGCCAGAAATGGATCCAGCCGACATGGACAAATACCAAGTGAGTTTCGCCGCCACACTCAAGTCTTGCATCTCAATGTGTCCACTCCAGAGCTTGTTCTAACCTTCGGATAAATGTTAATTCGCTTGTCTCTCTCGTTTTATATACCTCTCCCTACACACGTTGCGTTTATCAATGTTCGTGGTTGCTTCAACATAAACATAACAATTGTACACAACGAAAAACACACTCGACACTCACACAAACAAACACACAACCACCCACACACATTAACACACACTTAACATTGGTCTTGGATGTGTCGTGCCATGGATTACAAAACAAACAAACAAAACAGCAAAGCATTGCCATCATGAACATGAATCTGCAGGATATCCAGCAGGATATTCACCGGCTGGCCACCCAGCAAAGCCAAATGCAGGCGCAGCATTTGCAAGCGCAGCAGCTGATGCAGGCACAGCAAATAGCCAACATGCTGAATCAGGTAAGCGACACACAAACACGCACCACGCATCTCACCCAATTGCCAAATTAACAGATAAACTCAGTTCGGTTTGTTATTGCTTTTTGTTTTTGTTCTTTATTTGGTCTGCCTTTGTCGTTGTTTGTGCCTTTGTTCTCGACTAACTGTGTGTTTTGTGCTTCCCACCCGCTAACCGCATCCGCAGCAGCAAACCTATGGCTCGCAGCAGCATCTGGCCGAGCACCATTACCAGCAGCGACCCATGCAGCAAAGCTTTGGCTCATCACCGCATCTTCCGCAGGCCTTCAATGCGCCCGTCAGCGCCTACAACTCCCGTCCGCCCAGCCGCGATCCCTACCAGCAGCAGCAGCAGCAGCAGCATCATCCACATCAGCAGCCCATGCAAATGCCTCCGATGCAGTACGTCAACGAGCACGGCCAGTACATGTCGCCGCCCGCTCATTACATGCAGCCGCAGAGCATCTACAGCGACAACGGTGGGGCGCCCTACAACAACCACTCGCCCTATGGAGCGCCCCCGATGCAACAATACCAGCAGCAGCAGCATCCGCAACGCAACAGCGTCTACGATGAGTACGGGCAGCCGGCCAATCACTTTTACCTGCATGAGTCCCCGCCCCAGCCGCTGGGGCACCCGCAGCGTCGCACCTGGGCGCACTCGGCGGCAGCGGCTGCCTACGAGCAACAGCAGCAACAGCAAGCTCAGCAGCAGCAGCAGCAGCCACTGTTGGATGTGAATGCCTGGCAAACGCAGAAGAAGATGCAACAACAACAACAACAGCAGCAGCAGCAGCAAAGCTGGCCAAATCGGCCACCTTCCAGCGCAGGCGCGTCCCAGGGCTTTGTGCTGCATCAAAACGGAGGCGGAGGCGGCGGAGAGCTGCAGCACCTGTTCCAAGTGCAATCGTCGCCGCAGCATAGCCAGCGCATGCATGGCGGTGGCAGCGGCAGCTCGAACGGGGTGCAGCGGCAGCAATCGCTGACGAATCTGCGTGACAATCGCTCGCCCAAGGGCAACATGGGCCAGAATATGGGCATGGGACAGCCGGATGACATGATGGCGCCTCAAAGTATTTGCTTCATCGGCGACGAGGAGGATGTCGATGAGCTGGAACGAAATATTATCGAGTCAATGCAATCGACTCGCATTTCCGATTTTGTGGCGCAGCAGCAGCGTCTGCATCACCAGCAGCAGCAACAGCAGCAGCAGCAACAGTTGCCGGCGACGCACAGCGGACGCGGCAGCAGCTCTGAGGATTACGACAGCGGAGAGCTCATTTCCAATAAGCTGAACATCACAAGCGGAAATCTCACCTACCGCATACCCTCGCCCTCGCGCCCCTCCATACAGGCCAACAGCTTTCAGGATCCGCGTGGCGGTGGTGACAGGAACGGCAGCAGTGAGGAGCAGCGACCCGAGAAGGGCTTCTATATATCGTTCGACAACGACCAGCCCAAGCGGCCCAAGCCGCCTTTGCGCGCCAAAAAGTCGCCGAAGAAGGAGTCCAGCAGGGATAGTGTGGACAACCAAGTTGTCGTTAAACGTGAATCGCTAAGTCAACTGCACAACAGCAACAACATCGCTATCGAGGAGGCCAAAAGCGCCGCGGCCGCTAGGCACAGCATTCACAACTTCCCCGGCGGCCAGTCTAACTCACCAGCCGGCAATGCCACCTACAACAAATATACAGACGAGCCGCCCATCCAGCTGCGCCAGATCACCACGTCGGGAGCCGAGCCCGATGCTCAAGAGCGGCGGCACCTCGAGGACCTCACCAATCAGCCACAGCAACAGCCACAGCCGCTCTCTCCCTCGCGTCTGAGAGCTGAGCACAGTATCACCAGCGCCGAGGCGGCCAAGAATAAGGCGTTGGTCATAGGCGCCGACTCAACTAATCTGGATCCGGTAAGAAACGGGGGAAAATAAAACTGAGTCCTTTGAGATATTAAATAGATAGCGAATGCAGATAGTTACTAAATTAAGAGATATATATATATTTCCTAAAGTATTGCTAGTATTTGGTACAAAGGTCCTTCAATTATTTTCTAATTAAAACATAATGCGTTCAGAATAACTCTTCTGTAGAGACTTGCAAATCTACCAGCTTAAAACTGGTTGTTCTTTAAAACCTCAGCGAACAATTAAGATCGTCGTATTCATGATTAATCATTCAATATGAGAACGAAAAACTTACCTGAGTAGGCTTAGTTGGTAATAAACAGTTTAGTAATCATGTTTCGATATTTTTAAACTTCTAAAACTTTGTCACATATTTTTTTTAAATTTTGTATATTTTAAGTGTGTTTTTTCTAGTTTTTACATGTAGTGAAAGCTGTTTCAGCGGATGGTAGTAAAAGCCCTAATTAATTTGGTATAGGACAGTTTAAAGATTTTAATTTTATCCTTTTCCAGGAATCTGTTGACGAAATGGAGCGTCGTAAGGAGAAAATAATGTTGCTCTCGCTGCAGCGCCGACAGCAGCAAGAGGAGGCGAAGGCGCGGAAAGAGATTGAGGCGTCCCAGAAGCGAGAAAAGGAACGAGAGAAGGAGGAGGAGCGCGCACGCAAAAAGGAGGAGCAGATGGCGCGACGAGCAGCCATATTGGAACAACATAGACTAAAGAAAGCCATCGAAGAGGCCGAGCGTGAGGTAAATCACAAATCAAATACATATACATACATATATGCCATGTTTTAATGCTGATTCGTTTTTGTTTGCAGGGTAAGACTCTGGACAGGCCCGATTTGCATGTAAAGCTGCAGCCTCAGTCTTCAAGCACCACGCCTCGTCTTAGACAGCAGCGTGTGACCAGGCCACGCCCCAAAACCATCCACGTCGACGATGCCAGTGTGGATATCAGCGAGGCTTCAAGCCTATCCAGTCGGGGAAAGAAGGGCTCGAGCTCAAATCTAACCGGTGAGCGTTTCGTCGAAACTTTTGCACGTTTGCGCTTACTTTCGGCCTCAGACACACAACGACAACAGCACTCGGATCGAGTGAAATACCGTAGCTTTCTTCCTTGTCTGTGACTTTAGCTAAGAGAGGGCTGTGCTCAAATCTAAACTTAGGTCGCAAGTCTACTAAGACTTTCTCGAGAGTACTACTAAGCTATCTGTATTTATTTATGAGTAGTCTGTGTTCAATTCCCCGCTTTTTGAACTATGTTTTATGTGTATTACCTACTTGTAGAAATGATCCCTAAATGTGTATGTTGTTTGTTATGTGTGTAAAGAATTTCGGCTTGTCGAAATTGCAAACGAATTTTTTGCGTTACGTATTTTAATAATTTGTGCCGCTTTATTTGATTGATTTAATTTGTTTTGCCATTTGTTAATTTTTGTTTTTATTTTCGTTTTAAAACTTGGTTGTCCCTTAAAAAAAAAAATGTACAGGCTACGGTCAACTAAGCTCCAATTCAATGAAAAGAGATTTTTATAGGGGCTCACAAGACTCGCTTACAGTAAAAGGTAATTTATGTTTTTGTTGCTTTCTTATTTAATGTCATTGTTCATATCATTTGGTATATATTTTTATTATTATTATTTTTTTTTTTAGTTATATTAAGCATGCGATTTTTGGTTTGCGTAGAAGCTTGGCTTGGTTTTGATATCTATTTAGTTTAATTATTTATTTTACTGGTTTAGGAACTTGTGAATTGACGAAATTGTCATTTCTAAGCACTTGAACTAATGTAGCTCTTATAACAAATTGATTTTGGGACGAAGAATTTTATTGTTAAGACATAATTACTAATCTCGTTCAACAGAATCACCCGATGATTATCCCAGCACAAGTTCAACTCCGATTGGACGACGGGGATCTTACAAAACTTCCAGAGGTTGGTGCTGGGTAACAAGTAATAAGATTGTTTGTTTTTCCTTTGTTTTTTCTGTCCCTTCTGTTTTTCTACTCTTGCTTTTGTTGGTTAGTTCGTGTGTTGACAGCGAAAACCAAAAACCAAAAAGGAATCGCTGGCTCGGACTTGTAACATTAGTCCCCCCACACGCTGATTAACACATTTCAATTTATTCCCTTAACTATAGTTAATTAAGGCTAAAATACCAAAACAAAACACTGCTAAGATATTATATTTTTAATATACCTAATACACCCAAAAGCCACCTTATATATTTTAAACTAACCCACATTAAAAAAAAGAAACACGCACTGGGTAAAATTCACAGGGGTCAGCGTTATTATTATTTTCTTTTTATATGATTTTGGTTTCGATGTTAACTATTATGGTTTTTGGGGATCGGGTTGACATTTCAAAATGTCGCTTAAGTTTAAGTTTACCAATCGCATCATCATATTTTGTGTTGTGACAAAACTTTAAAGAAATCTGAATCTTGATTGATAAACGTATTATGCACTCGGCTCTCTCGTATCGCCCGTGGTGCCAACTTTTTACAGAGCCAGCCGTCGAAAGGGGTCGCACTCTATCGCGTATATCAGTTGCTAAGGGCAGCACACTTAATTTCCGTGGCAGAAAATCCAATTCGCTAATGAATTTGTGCGGTAAGAAGCGTTCCACAGCTAAAAAAAAAAAAAAAAATTAAAGCTGCTTGCCTTTTACTTTTTACTCTATTTTCTATCTACCTAACTTGTATCTGATTTTGTGTGGTAGCCTTAATGATGATATATCTTAATTTCTACGTTTTTGTGGTTCTGGTTAAATGCAGATAATTATGATTTATGTCTATCTATTTATTTTACTCTGCATTGGTCGAAGGTTTCTATTGTCATTATCCATTAGTGTGAGTGATTAGCTATATCTTGACTTATTTTCTTTCATTACCATCTTTGATTGTCATTTTCTGGTGAAAGTTTACATTTTTGTACTCGTACTTTGTGTAATTTATTTAGTAATATTTAATAGTTGTTCAATAGTCGACTTTTTAAATTTATTTATTTATTTACAAATATATTTTTATAGTGTTTCTTGATATCGAATGAGAGTAATGCAGAATAACAATTATAGTTCATATACATACATACATACATATGTATGCATATTATTTTTTACTAACCACAAATTTATGACATGAGTCAATCTATGAGTCTATGCTATGTATATTATTTTTTTATTATTTGTTCCCTTTTTTGAGCATTTATAAATACGTTGATTATTAGTTGCTTGTGAAAATAATTTTTGACTTCAACAGAAAGTTTTCCAGCTTGCATTACTCTCGTTAAAAACATTTTTCAATTTACATTTCGTAAGCTTAAATTAAAAATGTATTTTGCAAAAATACCAGAATTTTTATTTTTATGTAAATGTAGGCTTTTTTTCACTTCATTAGATTTTTCTAATGAGTCGTTTATTTCATTATATTTTATATTTATTATTATATTAAAATTTGATTTTTTTATTGATCAATTCAACGACTATAAATGAAAGCGGTGGCGGCATTTCTATAAACTGTTTCTATAATTTGAACACTCGAACAAGATTCCGTTGTCATTTTGGCAATCGTTTGATATAATTCGCAATTGGTTCTGGTTTGCTTTTCGACTTGTATTGTCCGAGTTTTTCTTTTTTCTTGGTGGGGAACAGGATTGTGATATTTATTCCCTAAATTGTGAATTAACCGCACACACATACATATATATACGCACATCAGCATACGCACACTCTCTCACAGTCACAAGCACACTCGAGCTTTCTCTCGCTCTCTCTATATCTCTCTCTCTCTCTCTGCTGGTCTCTCAGACTGATCATATTTAGGCCTTAAGTATATACGATCTACAAAATTGTTTTTAACTAAATTCAATGCACACATTCTCTTTTATTTCTCGTTTCTCTCAATTCAAAACTTGTGTACAAAAATGACCCGAATTAACAACAAATGTGAAAAAAATAACCAAAAATCTATTAACTGAATCGATAAATGCCTTAACATTCATCGCTCGATCGCTTCCATCGACTTCATCCTGTGGCAATTAACCAAATAACCAAATCGAAACTGCATCGAACCGAATGAATTGTTTACTGCATGGACGGCTCTTCTCTCTCTCACGCTCGCTCGCTCGCTCGCTCGCTATCTCCACCTGTGTCTCTGTCGCTGACTCGACTGCCTGTGGTTGTTGGTGGCTTTGTGTGAACTCTGTGTGTCTCAATGCATGCTTGATGACTGATGTTCGATGAACGCAACGATCTGCTCGCTTACCGGTTAGACACAGATTCGGGACTGGGACGGGCCACTCCGCCGCGACGCGCTCCGTCACCAGGAATGGCGGCATCAGGTAGGCATATGCCATCTCCCTCTGGACCAGGCTCTTTGCCGCCAGGTTTGATATCGAAGCGTCGCGGATTTGATGATGGATCAAGCGATACGTCTTTAACTGTGAATGCTAACATGGAATACTCGGGTTTGTACTTAGTCTCAAAAAATTCTCAAGCTATACATCCACAACAACAATCAATCAATCAATCAAACATATCGTACATATACACCATATTCACATATTGGTTCTTCATGCATATACATCATTTTGGAACGCCTCATAGAATATTCACATGTTTCGTTCATTTCATTTACATTTGTTCAGTTCTCGATTTGTTGCATCCATATACCAATTGGTTTTTTATTCGTCTCTTACGTGCATTCGTTTCCCGATTCCATATAATTATGATTTTGTGACATTAAACATACATATCGAGTGTTTCCGCATATAAGCCCTATACAAACGTACATCCATGTACTACGTAGGGACGTCGCGCGTATTTCGATTCCATTCGATCTTCCTTTACGTCGTCAAATCCACGATTTCGATAGTCAAACCGAGCTGTGTCTTCTATAATATTACTATTAGTATTATATGAAAATGAAATTCTAAAAAACCCCAATTCGGCCCAATTAACCGCTGCACACTTGCAAAAAAGAAAAATTAATTTTGGTTAAATTTAAATGCAAGCAATTTTAATAGTTTTAAGTTTTTATATAAATTTGTTTTTGTCTATTTTTTTGTGATTTGTATATTTGTACCTATTATAATTTTGGAATGTTTTAGAATAGCTAGTTCGAAATGTAAGTACACAATTATTATAAATTAGAAAGCTCATTCACAAGCTGCGGCCTGTTAGCTAAATTCCATATCAATTAATTATTTTGAGTTTCTGTATCAAATAATAACAGTAAACATGCATACAACTGCTCTACTAATCCAGCCCAACACAGGCCAAAGTTCTATGAAATAGACCAAGGATCACGCCTTGTATGCACGTTGCCTGCAGATTAGAAGCAAAAATAAAAAGAATCGAAGTATTTAAAATTGAGAAAGCTTGCCATTAACACCCGAGTAGAAATCCACGATTAGATAGCAAATTTCAATTGTTGTGGCATACTATAATATTTGTGATATTCATTCGTAGGTCCAAAACTCTACAAACAACCAGCGGCCAAATCGAATCGCGGCATTATTCTAAATGCCGTTGAGTACTGTGTGTTTCCCGGCGCCGTCAATCGGGAGGCCAAGCAGAAAGTGCTCGAGAAGATTGCGCGCTCTGAAGCCAAACACTTTCTTGTCCTCTTCCGGGATGCGGGCTGTCAATTCCGGGCCCTCTACAGTTACTTGCCCGAAACGGATCAAGTAACGAAGCTGTACGGCACGGGACCTAGTCAAGTCGACGAAGTCATGTTCGATAAATTCTTCAAGTGAGTATTTGAAACTAGTGAATAAAAACATTTCAATGACAATTTCGAATATATTTTCTTGCAGATACAACTCAGGTGGTAAATGCTTCTCGCAGGTGCACACAAAGCATCTGACCGTTACGATAGACGCCTTCACAATACACAATTCCCTGTGGCAGGGCAAGCGGGTACAGTTGCCCAGCAAAAAGGACATGGCGCTTGTGATTTAAGCCGAAGTACGAAGCTACTTTGCCCATGGCTAACTATTCTGCAACTTTGAATCATCTGCGAAAGCAAAACGAATTAAAAGTTTTTACTACGACACCAAGAGAGTGCACTAGTGCTTGGGTTTTGGGGCAGGACTCTGTGGCAAGGTCAGGGTCAGGATTAGAGTCGGGCTCTGGGTCTGGGTCAGGGTCAGGGTATGACATATAATGGCTTAATAACTAATTGCACACGTTTGAGCGACAGCAACAAATTGGAATTTACAAAAATATATTGTATTTATATTAATACAATGCGATAAGATATTTAACTTGAATGTATACACCATAATAATAGAAAAAAAACAAAACAAAAACAAATCGATCAATAGAAAAACCTCCCGATATAAGAGCCAAAATAAAATCCAGCGGATGATAGCTTACAATTTTTTTGTCACACACACACACATACACACATGAACACATTTACACACAACACACATACAGAGATAATTCAAAGATAATGAACAAGAGATATTGTAGAAAATCCTTATTTTATTAATTTGTTTTAAATTGTTATGAAGTTTTTTATGCGAAATATTGTTGTTTCGCCCCGAAAATTGTGAATGGGGGGCCAAGAACAAAGAATTCGCCAGTCGACACTAATTTTAACGCCACTAGCTATTTATTTGTAAGACTAATTAATATATACTTTTTATGCAAACTTAAAAAGGAATAATAATACAACTAATATTTAAATGATACATACATACATATATACCTATGCAACAAACTGAAAAAGAAAAAGACTTTTAACTGGCTGACACATTTATGAGCTGTCGTCCTTGTTGTACAAACTGTGGAAATGCTAAACACAATTCATTTACTAAATTAATTAATTATTTAATTAATTTGTTACATTTTTAACACACATGGATTTCATTGAAAAGTCAAATGCTTCAATGAACTCGACAAAAATTCGTAAGATACGAGGAATATTATTCAAAAATCATTTTTTAAGCTGTTTTCTTACTATATTTTAATGAATTTTCCTTTAACTTCACTTTTAAAGTCCCTGGAAAAATATATTTAAACTTGTTAGCGAATAACTGCCATTGACATGAATTTAGAAAAAATTGCCTAAACTTCCGTGAAAAAAATCCCTTAACTCTTTTCAGACCGCTCAACAGTGCAGCTAAAATCTGTTTGTTTTTTATATTTAGTATGCATATATAAATAAACTCATTTCTTTACTATAATTTGATTTGAATTTGTTTAAATAATCGATTATCGAGCTAATTAGCAATCTAAAAAGTGACAAACTAATAAGGCATTAAAACTGTGTGTACCGCCATAATTAGAAGGATTATTATTATATGCGGCCTCGGGCATATGTAACAAAATGGGATAATACGAGGATTTGATTGATAAACAAGTTTATAATATGTATGTACTATATATATATTTATCTGTGTGGGCGCTGTTGCGCCCTTGGCGCGAAAGGCTCCAACCTAATGAATTATATTAATGCGATCTAAACATTATTATATGAAATGTAATAAAGTTATTAAAAATGAATAATTTAACAAATTATGTTCACGGATGCATTTTCTTTTAAATACAAATAGAATTCAAAAGATGGAAAACAGCTTGCCTTTTTTACTACATAAGAAAACAGACAAATAAAATTTAAATGTCATATATTATCGAGCTTAAATATGGTATAATTAGTTTCTACATTTGGAAATCATCGCGCATATCATTATAACGTAAAACATGCTCCTTAATTTTGGAGCCATCAACCCATGTGACGAAATCTTGCAAATTGCGAGAGACCAGAAATGCGGGATCCTTAACCATTTCTGGGCCCACACGCACATGGCCCTGCTCAATGAGGTCGGTGGCATTCTTAAGGTTCTCCGCCATTCGCACTGCAATAGTAAAAGTATTAGACTATGTGCACATTATAAATCATGTATCATTCGAGCTCACGTTTAACCATAACCACGGGCAAACGTCGACGACAAAAGTTACTGGCACACATTTTGCTCGCGGTCTCTAAGGTGAGATGATCATTGGAAACACCCAGCGCATACAGTTTGTTCATTAGCATTGTAGAAGCCTCAGCTTTGAATGGATCAGTTGCATCCAGTTTGGCTATTTTCTCCACAAGCTCTCTGATCTCACGCGCCAATTTATTGTATCTATGTAAACAGAAGCAAAAATTTAAATGGTCAACAACTGAACGAATGTTGAGTCCTTACTTTGTGTAGTCCTCGCGCTTTTGTATGTGATAGCGCCGTAGGATTTTGTTCTCATTGCCGCTGTTGTCCACTTTCCATGTGATGAAATCTACTTTTTTGAGCAATTTCTGCTCGTGATATTTAAGTTTTCGCACCATTATGAATTTACTTTATTTTTTATGCTGCTCAAAATGCCTTGCACATGTGCGTTGTTGTGATGCAGTGTTGGTGAACGTAACGAGCCGTTGGAGAACTGAACTGCCGTCAGCTGTTTTCGTTTGGCAACCAGTGTTGAAAAGTTGTAAGATGAAGAATTCTCTGGCAAAATGTCAATCATAATTGAATAAACAATATTTGCAGTTTTGTTTACGTTTATCTAAGAGCTACTAGTCAAAATATGGCATCTACTATTGACGAAGAGTCCACCACTAAACCAGCTGCAACCAGCGATGAGGATCCACTCGCCGAGGAACGACTTGGCTATGTACGCGAAGTAGGCTCACAAGCTGTTTGGAGCTTGTCATCCTGCAAGCCAGGTTTGTTTCGAATAAGAATGACAATGAAAAGTGAAATTAAAAAATTGATTTCAAACTAGGATTCGGCGTTGAACGCTTGCGCGATAATATAATGGACACATACTGGCAATCGGACGGCCAACTGCCTCACTTGGTCAACATCCAATTTCACAAACGCACCAACATCAGCCAGATTTACATATACACCGACTACAAGTTGGACGAAAGCTATACCCCATCGCGCATTTCGATACGCTCCGGTACAAACTTCAATGATCTGCAGGAGCTGCAGGTCATCGATCTGACCGAGCCGAATGGCTGGGTGCAGATACCCATTAAAGATGGCAATGTGAAGTCGCTGCGCACTTTCATGCTGCAAATCGCCGTGATTTCGAATCATCAAAATGGCCGTGACACTCATATGCGGCAAATTCGCGTTCACGCCCCCTGTGGCGGAGAAAGCAAACACTATCCCCTCGAGCTCTTTGGCAAATTCGGAACCGTTGATTTTCAAAAATTTGCTACCATACGTTAATTTGAAAAGCAATACTCTGAACATCTATAATTTTCCATTCGAGTATTCACTGTAAATTCGTTGAGTATGACGCTCCTCACGTAAATCATTTATTTTAAGTTTATTTATATAGTTAGTTGGTAAAGAAAATCCGATAATCAAACATATTAAAATGCCCTCTAATTGAAATCTATTCAATATTGAGTACTTACACACCTTTATATATATATATTATTCATATATCAATTTATTGGAGCTTCAATTTGAATACAAACAACCAATTGTTTACAATCAGTTAAATATGTGTGTGTGTGTGTTGTGTCTGTTTGTAGCCTAAAGACTTAAGTACAAATTAACAATACGATTGCGTTTTTTTTTATGTTAGATTATTATCGTTTTTGCGATTGCAAATGCAACATGGAAGTTTCAACAAAAAATAATGTGTACAAACTTTGTGGAAGTTTGTGCGATGCTCGATTTGATTCAATATTCGCCCAAAAATGAAAATTCTGTCTTATGATATTTCGCATATGTTCGGTTACTTTGCAGCTTTCAGCTCTTTGTAATGATCTTTTTCTCCAGCATCGACTGGTGACTCGCATTCGTATGAAGCCTTCTTAAGACCGTCATCAGTAAAAACTTCAGCCTTCTGCAAATAGGCCACAACGTTGGCCAGCTGCTCGTAAGGGCACTCAAGCTGTTGGCACTTATAAAAGTTACGCAGCTGCGTGCCAAGAAGTGTGCACTTCTCAAAGTTAAGGGACCCATCAGCGAATCTGAAAATGCATTAATTATTAGGGCAAATTCAATTTAAATAATTCAATTTTGGTATGCTTGCCTAGTTGGATGACTCTCATGAATGGCGTAGATATCCTTTAAAAATAGCGAGAAGAATGGTATAATGGCACGTTCTATTTTATTAGCCGTTTCTCGTTCGGAGCGCCAAATGGCGGCTTTCATGGTCGAGCGATAGTTCTGATAATCGGAGCTGGGATCCATTTGATGTTCCAAGCCCTCAAACTTAGTTGTTTGCAGCTTAGACCACTGCAAGAAAAGTTTAGTTTATGATCATTTGATTTGAACTTAGAAAAGTTACTCACAGTTTTCTTAAGCCGTGATATAGCTGTTGTATTGAGAGCCGTCAAAATAGCCATCAAGCTGTTGAAATTTCCGATATTGAAGCATTCCAATGCTGTTTCAATCCAGAACTCAATCATCTGCACTCGCTGAGACTTTTTACCAAGCTGGGGAACGGAATATGATATGTGAACAAGTTATAATTGAAATGTGTTCATTTACTCACCTTCAGTATCTCCGTGGCAGTCAACGAGGATAGCTGGTTGAACCACTGCACGTAGGCTTCAATGCTCACCTCAGCCTGCTTAGCTGATGTGCCCTGGGAGCCTAGTGTACTGGCTTTTGTTTGCGACATACACACCTTAAATCCGCCGTTGCTTATCAACTCGATAAACTCCTCCAGCCGTAACTGTGAGAGATAGGCATATTCAATGGCATACAGTTGGTGTGCCAATTCGAAGGCGCTGCTGCACTTGGTCATCACATTATCTGTTTTATAAACATTCGCAGCAAAACGCTTTAGCGACTTAATGCTGCTCTGTCTCCCCAACGAACTGGCCGAGGCCTGCTTGGCCAGCAAATACTGCAGTTGTGAGCGATGACTGGCATCAATTTTGTCGAGGACGTCAGGCACGCCATCGAGAAAAGAGTTTACAGCTTTATTGGCGTTCTGTTTGCGCAACTGTTGAAGCAGTGTCTCGTTCCGGAAGTCATTGGGACACAAACGTAGCCAGTGGTTCAGCAGACGCCGTAGATCATCCTCTTGGCCGTGACACTGCTGAAGCAACAGCGACATCAGCTCTTGAATCGGCGCAAACAAACGTGCGCATAATATAAATGCGAATTCCATATCTTCGTTTTTGCAGCTAGCCAGGAGGGTGACCAGTGTGCTCAGATTACCAGCGGCTGGCAAGTCTTTGGCATAAGCTGGCGTTGTTTGGCAATCGTTAACTAAATCACATGGCTCTGTGATTTGTAGGTGCGCGCTCTGCAAATGGAGGACCATTAAAATTAATATTTGGTTATTATTATGAATATTTGCGAACTGCCTTTACCAGCATAGCGACCGACGCGACGTCAGCTTCATCAGACGAGCTGGGAATGTCACAGTACATCGAGTCTGTTTGGGTGTCACGAACATTGATTTTCGAATAGGGCATGCTCATTGAGACACTGTGGAAGAGGCCGTCGTGGCCTGAGTCACAGCTGCTGATATTCGAGCTCTTCTCGCCCAGTGTTGTGGCCGTTGACACATTGGAGGCCGAGGTGGAGCCAATCACTTGATCCGAGTCGGTTATGGCAGAGCTGCTCGACATGATTGAGGCATTTGAAAAAGTTTGATTCAATTGACGACCCAAAGGATCGCGAGCTCTGTTTTGCTCTCCATCTGTGGTAGTCTGTGAGGAGAATGTGGAATTGGAATTCGTTCGATATTTCAACGCATTCTCTGGCGTCGCACGTGCCAACGCGTTTTGCTGTCGAACTGGCTGCCAGATCTCCGTTTGGTGTGACTGATGGTTGAAGTGCTCTTTGGTTTCCACAGTTCGTTCGTCTAGCACCTGCCCGTTACGTGAGACCAGCACCTCCTCGGTGGTGGTCAGCGATGATTTGACAGTCAGCGATGTTTCCACTTCAATTGGCTGTTGCGCGAGTCCAGCACGGAACAGTAACTGATTCAAATGCTCCACAGCCGGCATCTGACCATCAAGCAGGGCGCTCTTGATAGCACTGGCATCATCCGCCGGTAAGCCATCCAGTTTGACCGGCACCCCATTGATCAGTAGCACCTCCTCCTGTTGCACCGAGGACGACGTCTCGCAGTCCACAATCTTAACATCCTTGCCGAAAAGAGATTCTACTGCATTCATAATGTCTTCATCCATTTTGATGTTTGATCAGTTAGTCAATAGTAGGGTATATGGTAATTAATTAGGTATATGATGTTGGCTTTGTGTTGGTAAAATGCATATGACCCTGGGGGTTTCTTTGGATTAATATCAATGCACTAGACTAGCGAGCACATTTCTGCAATAAGGAATTCGAATTAGGCAAATTAGACAACAAACGCGCACACAAAGAACAGTTGAATTATCAATGCGATCAATGCTTCAACAATGGGAATTGTTAGTGAACAAAACGAGAACGTGAATGAGAATTCAGCCTTGTGACACGGGGTTGACAACGCCCACCACTTTCCCAAAAAGTGGGTTGGGCATTTGGGGTTTCTGTCTTTTTTGTTAGAATTGTAGCTACACACCTGCAGGAACAACATTTGGTATTTGCGTTCCAATTCACGCACGATTTACATCTTTTATGGTGTCCGCATTTTCATGCACATTAATTGCCTGTTTCTGTTGCGAAATAAACAGTTTATTCGGCGACTATTTATATTTATTTATTTATTTCCCACTCCAGCAGTGTTGTGTTGTTCACGAGTGAGTGAACACTAACTAGAACATGAACTTGAACCAGTTCACTCAAAGGAGCCGGTTTCCAACACTACTATTGCCCAAAAATGAGCAGTTTTCTTCACGCTTGACTGAATATACATATATTATTTACCATATTCAATGGTAAAGAACACATTTAGATTAAATAATAAAACTACTTAGTTCATCCTTATACCTATTTAGACGGCAAGTCATCTTTTGAAGCCGTCAGTTTTATTATACTGCAGCCCTGAACTCTCCAGTGTGATGATTGGCGGTAAGTTTAAAAAAGCAACCGAAACGTGGAGACATTGCAAATTGATGAATTAAAATATATTGATATGAAATGAAATCATTCATATTCAAAATTGTAATTAATTTGTTAAGTCTTAAAACAGTGAAAATTTATTTGTGCGTCATTTTCTAAATTCCAATCTTCCAAAACATTGACATATATTTCGCTAAATAAACATTTTGTCGCTAAACAATCGGATAACTGCACTCGGTGGCGATCCCGCAGAAGTTCTTGCCACGTGGCAAGCGGAAATAGCCATCTTCTCCCCAGATCTTGTCCCACGAGTTCTTGACAATCCAAAAGTCCTGTCCATTTTCAGAGCCATAGCCAACGACCAGAACGGAGTGATTCACCTCGCCATTGTTGCATTCCTCATCGGCATAAATGCCTCTCTTGTACAGCAGCAAACTCTCCAGTCCGTACACCGAGCAGGCCAAGGGGCCCTGAGTTGCAATCACCGTTTTCATGGCTTGTTCGTCCTTGGGAGGAATGACTGCAAATCCGGTGATTTGGGCACCTGACAAGTTGCTTGTGTACTTGCACGTGTCCTTCTTATCCACGTAGGGATATTTGCTGCCAACGGCAATGCCATCCTGTTCCTTTACAAAGTTGAAGGCGTACTCCTGGTAGCCGCCGTCGCAGCCATCTAGACCCAGATGCCTGGGTCCACAATCGATCAGGTTTTGCTCCGACAGATTTGGCAATTTACCCGTCTTCCGGAACACATGACCCTCGATAGCGCCCGTGGTGGCAAACGACCAGCAGGAACCACAGTCGCCCTGAAATTTGACGGGCGTAACACCGCCCTTCTCACGCCAATCAAAGGAGTCAGGCAGCTTTTCATTGGTTGCCAGCTTGGGTGCCAGACGATGCGCCCTGGCACTCTGACTGAAATCCAGGGGAGAAGAAGAAGACATCACAGTTGAGCACATAATTAGTTTTTGCTATTATATGTCAAAAGAGTTGACTTTGATTCGTTTGCTCACTTACTCGCCGGACGATGACTTCCTTAATCCAGTCAACTGCTTGAGGAACTCAGCATTCGTTAGATCAGCAAACGCATTCACAGCCAGCTCATAGGTCTTAGCTCCGCCCTTGAAGGCCGCATTGGTGGCATCAACCAAGTTCTTTCGTGCACCAAAGATGCCCTCTCTCAACTGGCGATCAGCTGCCGAGGCGTAAGTTTTGCCAGATTGCGCCTGCGGAATATACATATATTTCATGTTGTTTATCCTCAACTACTTTTGCTGCGCTCAAATATACTCACCAAAAAATCACCAAAATTTTGTACATCTTTGAGTGCAGGGGGTGAGGGCAACGTGCTAACCAGTTGTGAGACTCTTTGATGCAGTTTGTTGGCGGCATTTCCCAGATTAGCACCAAAATGTCCACCGAAGCCACCAAACTGAGCAGAGGCTAAGGCCACGAACAGGGTGAGAATAAGCAACTGCCTCATTATGATCTGTAAGTATGAAAGAAAATTTCTAATGTGTGATTATTTCTGGTCAACACTTCAACTGGGCTTAAATCTAGAAGTTGTCTATGCCAAAACAAAACGTTGGGCACTGAGATTGACTCGGAGATATTATCTAATTATAAGTATGTATATACCAGACAATATAATTTCGCATACAATCACAAGTTTATAGAAAACTAATTAATTTTTAATTACTATTTAATAGTATTTAGAATTTCGCATTGAGAATTGTTGCCAGGCATCGTAAAATGCATTTTATAAGCTTTTAGTTTTCATCAAGTTTCGCCAGCTCATTAGCCGGCTTCAGGTTTGTCTCTATGAAACCAAATCAAACGTAAATCCACATCAATGTGTATTTATTATTATTGCATTTGCTTAATAATTTTCACTTGAGCGATGATTAGACGGTGCTGTAAAACCAGAAAACCTTGCACCTCATCAGATCGAGCAGATTACAATTAAAAAAAAAAAAAAAAAAAATCATTTTATTGACTTGTTGTGGCTGGCTATGGAGCTCACTTAGTTCACTTATTACGTAATTAATTGGTTTACACAAATCACATTTCGTGTTAATTAGTTAAGCATTTCATTTTGGTTCTTAATCACATTTGATTGACTCGCGTCAACATTATTTAAAAGCCAAGCATTTGATTCTATACACTTCTAAAGGTTTTTATTGTGCTCAATTTTCTTTATTAATTTTTAAGGTTCTGAAATTATTAAACACTATTCTATAATATAAACAAAAGTTACTTTTAAATATAGCTTGAAACAATTGTTTTAGGTTATTTAATATATATTTTTAAACATTGCTTTTTTTAACGAAAAATAATTAGTTGATAAACTAGATTTTTGTTTAATTTTAAAAGTTATTTTGGATTAAAAATCACATCTTTTAAATAAAGTTTTTTGTTATTACTTATACAAATAATTTTAACTACATGATGAAGGACGAAAAAATTCGTAAATCGTGTCTGTTGGCACTATTTTGATCAAATTGTCTTCAACTTCACTTTGATTCTTAGTCACACTTAAGAAGTTTTGTCATATATATATTTATATTATACACTAAATACCCTTCTATAAATGAATAATTAATTATCAGCTTTATAAGCGCTTCTCTAGTATTAGAAATAACCTTTCGGTGCGGTTCCGTCAATAACAATGCGAGACACAGATGTTAAGCGTTGCGCTTATAAAGCTGCGAGCGTTCATCGTTGTTTGATTCTGCGTTTTCATGCAAATTTAATTAGAAATGTTTAATACGAAAATTTATAGGCTAGTCGCCCCTCGTCTCTAGCTTTATGTGTGTGTGTATGCATATGTAAGTCACAAACAATATCGTACAAAAACTGGATGCTTTTACAGTTTCGGCTTGCCGCGACGCTTATAATATAAAGTGTCGACTGGTTTTTGGGATTTATTGTCGCTAATTAGCGACATGCATAATAGCAACAACTGTGTGACATGTTTAAAGATATACATTTTGATATACATATATGTATGTATATGCAAAAGTGTTTGTATACCTTCTTCCAAGAAAACGGAACACGTTCTTCTTTAGAGTAAACAAATTTTGATCGGGAATAAAAAATTTTTAATTTTCACGGGGACTCCCTGAACTGAATCTGTTTATGTGTCAAGGAAGATGCAGCACATCTTTAATTGATGTAAATATTAAAGTAGTATATAACTGAAACTATTACTTTATACACATACATACATACATATGTACATACATACATATGTATGTATACTTTAAGCATCATATGGATATACATATGTATTTTTCCCATTTGAGGAGCTTCTCTTCTAGGCTATAAACAATTTTGTTGCAGTCATTTTATTTAATCACTTAATTAGTTTTTGCTACTATATATCAAAAGCCTTGACTCTGATTCGTCCGCTCACTTACCCCCCGAACCCTGACTTCCTTATGACAATCCAGTGCTTAAGGAATTCAACACTCGTTAGATCAGCTTAAGCTCTGAAATTAAACCATTAAAGTAGAGTTATAAAATAAGACGTCTGCGAGGACACACACCCTACAAAATATATAAAATACATTTATATATTGTTATATACTATAGTTTTATGTTTCACTATCTGCACTTTTCCATACATTTTATTGCTGATATACTTTCATTTTCAAAATATAAATCTTTCAATCTTTAACCTGACATATTAGGAGCATATATTTAAATGAATTCTCTTGTGACACATTTTCGCAGGGTTCAAGCCGCTCATTGCTGTTTCTATGCCGCGGTTTTTATTTTTTGCTTGATAAACATGTTTTCCTGTGATTCAATATTTTGTTTTATTTGTGTGTTCATTTTAAATGTTAATTTGAGTTTTGCATATCTTAACAAAATACATATAAAGTATATATAAGTGTTTGGATATCACCTATATTGGGTTGTTGTTGTATAAAAAGCCGGTTAAAATTGTTAAAAATTGAATTACGTAATGAATAATGTATGCTGTAAGCTCTTGTTATTATGATTTGTTTCCTTAAATTACAAATAAAAGGTAATTAAATTGGCTGTTTATAAATATAATTTAATAATAACAATATAAATCATTTTTAGTATGTCATTTAGACTAACTTAACATAAAGCATTTAACTAATTTATACTGCTATAAGCACTTCAATTCTTTTTCAAGGGACGCGGACGTGATGTGAGCATTGGTTCCTGTGGCGTTTCCCTAATGGGCGTTGCCTCTGGCAGGAATATAACGGGTAGACTCAGGTCCACAGGTGGAGCTGCCCAATTGTCAGTCATGGCGAATCGCTGCAAGTGTTTAGGAGAATTGTTATCTAGGCTCAACTATGTATACTTTGGTTGCTTACCCCACTGGGCGCATAAATTGAGCCGCGTTCGAACTGAGGACGAGCTGAAGCCAAAGCCAGGATGAGAGCAACCAGGACTACATTGATGACCTTCATACTGTTGAGGATATGTTGCTAAAGATCCTTGTATAGGAAATGTTCTCACGATTCGAATGCTGTGATTGCAATGATTCTGCATTGCGGACTTTGTTTATATACATACACCTTTCCCTTTGGGAAACGGATGCAAAAACCCAAAGTGCATAATATAAAATGTTTATTTAAATTTTTTTAAACGAAGTACTTGCAATGCTTCCGTTGTATGATTCACATGCAATTTATAATGGAATTGCCTTCTGCCTTCATTCATTATTCACTTTCAATTGAATTTTTTTCACAAGTCGGAACCAGGTATTATTAGTGTGTCAAATGGAATACCATTCCTTTAAATAAGAGGAGATTTTCATTTCTTGTATAGGCAAGTTATAAACGTATGCTTGTCGAATTCCCTAGTTCGTAGTTGACTTATCTACTCTAGTCATTTATAGAGTAAATAATAGTATTATAGAAACAAATGAATTCAAGTTATAAAACTGCTTCAATGTTTTTTAAGTGGAACTTGGATTACTGGATACTCATAGTATTATTATTGCTCGTTGAACTGAATTTAGGCTTTAAGTTCTCCATAGTACACAACAATGATATACGAGGCAGATATGATTCTATCAAGAGCAAAGTAGAATCTTGTACCAAGGTCGACGATGAGAGGGGCCTGTGCTTTGGGGGGATGGCGCGAATAGCTACAGCGTGAGTATCTTCTATGAATTGACATTTGAATCGAACTATCTGCACTATCTTCAGTGTGGCCGAGGCGCGAGCTGAGGGTCCAACGATTTACCTGAATGCTGGCAATACCTTTCAAGGCAGTCCCTGGTATACTTTATATAAGGGAGATCTGGCAGCTGAACTTTTGAATATGCTCGAACCAGATGCAGTGGTAGGAACCTAAAATGTCATCAATTCACAAATCATCTTCGACTCACCCATTTCCTGCCCGAAACAGTCTTTTGGCAATCATGAGTTTGATGACAATGTCGATGGGTTGATGCCCTTCTTCAGAAAAGCAAAGTTTCCCATTGTCTGCACCAATATGGACTTCCAGAAGAATCCAATATTACGAAATGTAACAAATTTAGTCAAATCGTTCATCATCACTAAATTCGAAATGAAAATTGGAATCGTGGGCTATGTAACACCCAAGCCAATGAAGTCGGTGGCACGGCTTGAAGTGGAGATACACAATGAAATACCAGATATTAAGTGTGTCTAAAACTTAAATAGTTTTGTATAACATTAAATTACTTTATCCCCTCAGCGCCGAGGTGAAAAAACTAACCGATATGGGTGTTAAGATCATAATTGCCCTCGGAAACTCGGGCTACAAAAAGGATCAAGAAATTGCCGAAAATTGCCTGGGTGTTGACATCGTCGTCGGTGGACACTCGAATACCTTTCTATTCACTGGCTCGCCCCCAGCTGATGATATACCAGAGGGCAATTATCCGACTGTGGTGACCAGGTCGAATGGCCAACAAGTGCCGGTCGTTCAGGCATATGGCTTTAGCAAATATTTGGGCAAACTTGATGTCGAGGTAAGCAGAACTACTGAAATGGGTGGATTTAGGAGCTCCAGCAGTACACTAAGGGCATATATTTATAAAACTAAATTCGAATAGTTTGACAGTGGCGGATATCTGATAAAATATACGGGCGCGCCCATACTGTTGGATGATTCGATACAGCACGATGCTAGAGTGGACTCTATGTTGGCCGCAAAGCGAGATGCAATAGACAAGCTTGATGAAAACATTGTTGGGTCCACAAAGGTGCTGCTCAATGGAGATCCTGCCGTGTGTCGACAAAGCGAATGTAATTTTGGCAGCTTCATTGCAGATGCCTTTGTCTACGAACGTGTCATTGAGAACTACGGCGGGGCCTATTGGACAGACGCAGCAATAGCACTAATTAATGCGGGAGGTAAATGAGTCAAATGATCAGATATTTTAGCCATTAAGTAAACTCTATGGCAGGAATACGCGCAAGCATCGAACCGGGATCAGATGGATCTATATCAGAATTGGATATCATAAAGGCTTTGCCCTATGGCAATCAAGTGGTGGTGAGCCGCATTACTGGCCAAGATCTTCTCAACGCATTGGAGTACTCGGCCAGCCTGCGTCACTCCAAAAGAGATGGGGGATTTCTGCAGGTCTCTGGTATTCGAATGGTCATCAACTACAATCTACCCAAGGGAAAGCGCATCACAAAAGTAAAAGTTCTCTGCGCTCATTGCCGAATACCCGAATATCTTCCCTTGGACAAGCAGCGACACTATTGGGTGATTGTGCCCCGTTATCTTGTCAACGGTGGCGATGGTCACATTTACTTCAAGGACGCCACAGAACCGAAAATCGATGAGCTAGAGCTGATAGATAGGGAGATCTTAGCCAAGTACTACAGGGAGCATAAAGTTGTTTATCCCATGATTGAAGGTCGCATAAATATTGTTGAGAAAAAGCGTAAATCAAGTGCACCATCGTTCCGACAGAAATTTGTCGTAGTTTCCATTACTGTAATCACAACATATTATATTTCTTGAGTTATAAATTCGATTCGATTTCGTAATATACTTGTATGAAATCAATAAAATGTAAGACAATTATGCTTAAAAACTAGGCCAGAATTCTTTCGTCTAGATATACCGTGAGATATCAATGAAATACAATATAGAGCAACTCGATCATCAGAATTCAGAAACATATATGATTTTGCTATAATCCACATCTTTCCTCTACCCGTTATATTAAAAAAAAAAAACACATTTAAACTAGAGTATCTTGTAATCAAAAGGTTTCTTATTCGCTATTAGCCACATTCTGTATAGAGCAACTGCAAGAGACTCTTAATCGCAGTCATTAATTGACAACAATACCTTAAGCTAAGGTCTGAGTAAGTATAAGTATATAATACGATCATCTTCATTCTTCCACGGTAGATCATTAGCGATCTAATGTGGACTTTCGTCAGCTCAATTTTGTTGTTGTTATTTTTTGTTTTTGTTAATTACTTAGTGTCGGGTCGTCGTACCGCCAGCTTGTGCATTGACCCTCCACCATTATACGACGCCCTTGGGTGAAGATGTGTGAAGTTTTTATTTAACTCACCTAGGTATGTATCTGTATATATAGAGACCCTCTCTGTAACAAGACACGCACTAATAAACATGGTCCGCTTAATCTGCTCGCGCCTAACCTTAGCTACCTCTTTGTCTGCCTGTGATCAACATGGAGCACCAATTTAATCTAGTGTTCTAAGCATGTTAAGCTCATCTACATGCTGATGCAATTCGAAAGGCAATTAATTCAAGAGTTTAGCAAAAAATATGAAATATGAAATATATAAATATAATTATTTAGTAGATTCCGATCAGTTTTCTTTAACAGACAAATTTTAAGAAAGTTTACACTTTAAACTATTATTTAAATTACAGTTGAGGCGCCAAACCTAAGATAAATATCGGATATTATTAAGTCTTAAAAGCGTGAAAGCTTAACTTTTTCGAATCCAATTAATTTGATTTAGTATATAAATATGAATAAAATATTTATTTCTTTTTCATAAATGTTACTATATTAACTCAACAGAATTTAACAGAAATTAACTAAATAAAATTCTAGTAAATAGCAAAATAATTAAAGATTTATAAAGCTACGGAGAATGTAGGCAGAAACCTAAATTAACCGCTTTGTTCTGTTGAGCTGAGAATAGAATATTAATAAATTGTTTTTTATTTATAAATATATTAATAAATTGATTTTTTATTTATAAATATGTAATCATTTTTTATATAATACATCTGTCCATAGAATATACCGATAAAGCTCCCAATACTCGCTGGACTATATAAAAATGTGGCATTCAGCAGATTTGTCAACGAAATATAAAGTAAGATCATTTCTTATTAATAATTTAAGGATTTTAATAAATTTATTACCGTTTTAACTAATTCAGTTCAAGTGTTCCGCCTTTCGAATGGCCTCTTGGTCAACTTGCTCCAATGTGCATTCGCGTGTGCTCGTTGAGCTTAAGACCTCCGCAATCCTTGCGCCCGCCCTTGACTCTAGCTGCCCGTAGCTACCGGCGTGCTTTGCAGCTACTGCTGCTGTTGTTGGTCTTGTTCTTGCTGCTGCTAAAGTCGTGAGAAACACACATACATACAGGCATACAGACATGCATGCACTTGAGAGGCAGAGCTAAAGACAGCAAATGACTCGGTCGTAGGCGACACACAAAACACTATCTGCTGGCTCGGGCTTTGACTTTGACTTTGACTTTAACTTTGAGTTTGGCTTTGACTTTGACTTTGACTCTGGCCTAGGGCTTATAGCCCCGGTAACTGGGAAGCCTTCTTCTTCTTCTTCTTCTTCATCTCGTTCTTCTGTAATTATAGCGAGCAGCTCATACTTAAACTCTGTCTCGCCACTTGATGTCAGCTGTGCTTTGGATTCTTAGTTTTCGGCTCTCCCCGGGGTCTTTCGCTGGGCGTCGGTCAAGTGCAGAATCGGGCATTTTGCACGGCACTTTAGCTTTCAGCTATCAGTCATTCAGTCATTCCATCATTCAGTTAGTCATGGCTAACAACAATAACAACAACAGCAGAAAAAGGTTCTTGAACTCACCCACACCCGCACCCGCACCCGCATTTCTATTCGCCTTCATAGTCTTAAATGCCGAGATGTTGGCAGTGGCATTTCAATTTCGCAAATAGACTCGCCACTAACTAAGTGTGCGTGTGTTTGTGTGGGGTTGTGGGTGTGTGTGTGTGACCGTAGTCGTGGAAAATAGACCTAAGACCATCTGTTAGGCCAACACTTGGTAAGAGCTCTCTCTCTTCCCTTCCCCAATTTGAACGGTAAATGTGCTTATAAAAGAGAACTTCCGTCTTTGAATTTCATTGCTGATTTCCTGCACTCTGTATTCTAATAGCCATATTAGTGGCATTAACTGGCATTCACGCTGCTCTACATCAAATTGAGCCGAGGAACTGTAGGGCACGTGAGTGTCCCCACGGAAGATCATGTTCAGATGATAAGTAGGTTGGGGGCTGAGTATGTGGAATAACAGTTGAAGCAACAAATTAGTTGAAAATAATCTTCATTCAGTGCGATTTTCGTGTTTTGACTGTGCTGTAGTTGTTGTTGTTGTTGTTTTTCTTTCTCCTGTTCATGGCTTTGTTATTTTGTTGCCAGTTGCCTATTGCTTTTTGCCTTTTGAGTTTTGCCAGTTGGTCGTGATTTTTTTGCCGCAGTTCGCCAGAAACGTTAAATTGGCTTCACCTTTTGACATGGAATTCGAAATGACGTGAATCACACAAAGAGGAACTCAAAACTTCGCTGCTGTTGTTGTTGCTATTGTTGTTGGTCTTTCGTGGACATCACTGGCATGGGCTAAATTTGCCTCGTCCTCATTCTATTGATTGCCTAGCTGGCCAGCTAGCCAGCTCTCTGCTCAGCCATAGGCCATTAGGCATCAGGCATTCGACCAAGAATCGGGCATCGGGCATCGGGTATTGGGCATGCCAAATGCTCATGTCTCTTTGACTGGCTTTTGTGATCGAAATTATTTACCGTTGATATGGTTATGGCTAAAGCTGCTAACAGCTTGCTCCGATATCAAGAGGCGAGCCACAGACGAGTAATCTCCTTAAAATATAATACCCTAGCATAAGCATATAACAGCTCTGTCACGATTCGTGTAACGCATGAGTGGGCGCATTTCCCGATTCCTGCAGCGTGTTCTACACATATTTTATGGTCATTCATTTATATAGGTATATGTATACATATAAGTAAATATATTTATATTGTTAAGTTTGACTGATTGACTACGCTGCTGAAAAAAAATCAAATATAAAGCATGAAATACTTGAAAAGTAATAAAATATTTTTTTGTCATTTTTTTTTTTTTTTTTTGCTTTATCATAAAGAAATTTGGTAATACAGTTATCTAATTTTGCTTTGGAATAATAATAAATTATAATTTTGCCTTTTTATCGAACAATTAATAATGTGGGCGAGCCTCTTAAAAATCATATAGAGACTGCCTTTATCTAAAAGGAATTATTTGCAAGCATTTCCTATAATGATGATTTTACATACTTGATACATACTTGATATCTATTTAAAGATAGCTCAGTTTCCGGATGATTTGATACTCGAAATATGTATAGATATATAAAGATATTTTGAATAAGCAGAAGAAGCCAATGTCCGACTAGTGTTTGTTAGGTTGATAGAGATTATATTATTATTGGAGTATATCTTGTATCTGCACCTCAAGAATTTGATATTCAAACCATAATAGTCCGCCCTATTATTTGGCAGGGTATATAAAGTTCATCCTGGGTAATAATTTCGTTAGTTACGCTTAGCCTTTATTGCAAATGCTGATCGCGATTTCGCATATTTTAATAACTTATTGGAAAAGTCGATGGGACTGCGAAGCATATGAATTTATGTATGAATAAACCGGAGGGCAATTTTCTGGGCTTGGCCATCACGACACGTGGTAAGTGATGCAGGCCAAGAGATGCAAATGCTGATGACCTTCGCATATCAAGGACAACAGCAGGCAGCAGCAAAGGATGGTTATAAACACACACACACACAAGATGTATATGTATTTACGTAGATATACCGAGTTCAAATCAAAAGCAAATGCCAAATGGGATTTTAGCTACGGATCAGCATCATGAGCTGAATGTCATTATAGAATATTTAATCCTTTGATTTGATGCGGAAAATCTACCTGTATAATATGGTTGATAAGCATTCCCGTCTTCGGTCTCTTCCACTCTCCATTCTCCACTCTCCAATAGGCAACACACCATGACCATGACCATGTCATCATCATCAGAGCTCAAGTTGACGCTAAAGTGGATTGCGAGTTGCTTTATACAGGAGCAATGCACGCACCTGAGATACAGATTCAAATATTTATTTACATTGGTGTGCGCGTGCTAGTGTGAGTGTGTGTGTGTGTGTGTGTGTGTGTATGGGTTGGGGCAAAAATAAACCGAAGCAGAAGACGCGCTGTTGCGCGTCTGCGCGTGTTGCCAAAGTCCGTTTGCAAAGTCGAGGATTTTCTACCAAAAGGCGAATTAAATTCCTCAATCTTGTGCCAAGTTTATTTTTAGACCAAACAGCCGCAGAGCACCGAACAAGTCGCTGCGAAAACTAGCAATGAAATAAAGCAAAGAAAAGGGATACAACAAGAACAACAACAACAGCAACAACACAGAAGGTGAAGAAGAAGCACAACAGCAGCAGCAAAGGTGCAGACGAAGACGAAGGTGAAAAGAACAAGAAGAAGAAGAAGAAGCATCAGCAGCAGCAAAAGACGATCCAACAAAGTAAGCACACAAATGGTGAAGATCAGAAGATCAACTAGACGCAGCAGCAGCAGCAGCAGCCGCATCATCAGCAGAGGCAGCGCAGCAGCGACAGCAGCAGCACTAAAAGAAGCAAGGGAGCAACGGCAACATGTATGGATGGATATGGCTAAATGCTGTTAAGACGAAGGCCATCCAAATAGTTGCCTTTAGACGCCAAAGTTCTTGATCCAGCAGCAGAGCTGTGTCGATAGGTTCAATTAAACAGATCATTCAAACGAACTACTGAACGATGCACTTCAAACGTCCATTAACCACTTCCTCTGCACACGTCAGTTCATTTGATATCCCATATGAACTGGGAACTAGTACGTGAAATGAACGACTTACATGTGACTCATTGAACTTATTCATCATACTGAACGAGAATGCTCAACACTAAATCCAGATAGCGAGGAGACGCGACGCGGCGGTCACATTAAACTGAATGCGTCGACAGGCCTACGAGTACACTGCTGCAGCAGCGGCTGCGGCTGCGACAGCGACGTCATCGTCAGCGTCAGCGTCGGCGTCGGCCCGGCGGCAAAATCAGCCTCGACAACAACAACACGAACAACGTCAATAAACGTTACACGTAGGGCGGCCCAAAATCTTGGTGCGTTCCTCGATAGAATTTTTGATTGCAATACGCACGCACAGACCCAGCCACAAGCTCAGCCAACTTTTTGCTGTTGCTGTTGTTGCTGCGGCTGCTGGGCAGCAGTCAACAACCGCCCAGATTCGAGCTGATGCATAGGCCCAGCTCTACTTAGTACTAGACCCATTGCCAATGCCAATGCCAATGCCAATGGCAATCGCAGTGCGGCAATGCGAGGCGTTCGCAGGAAGCGTCTTTTAAGCCTGGCCAACTGGGAAAATGAACGCATTCCATTTCCCATGACTCTTAATCACCTGGCCATTATTATATTTACTCGAGCTGCGCGACTCGCCTATAATTATACCCCACACCCACCTATCCAGCTAACCAACTATTTAACCATCCATGTGTCGAATTGGATTAATCATCGATTATGCCGCTTCACGTTGAAAAGACACAGCAAAGCAAAGGGGGATGCCACAAGAAACAAGAAGATGCTGAAGCCTCAGTCTAGAGGAATTTCTAGACAATACGAGATACCTAATCTTCTTATTTATCTGATTGGAAAATCCCAATAAGACTTTAAACGCTTCACACAATTTGCTAAAATTTAATTTATTTTAACATTTTCTCTATAAAGAAATAAACAAGGTATTACAAACATTGTAAACATTTTTCTTTGTATATTTAATATTTGATTCTATTTAAAAATACAAAAAATATATATTAATTTTAATTATATAAAAATTTTAAATACAAAAAGTTTGACATAATATGTATTATTAATTGGTATTATAATTAATTAATACCAACCATTTTTTTTGTTTGTTATTTAACACAGGAATTTGAATGTTTATAGCTTCCTTGTTTCTTGTAACATTAAAGGAATTTTTTTTAATTAAAAAAGTACCTATTCAACAGATGAATGAATAAGAAATCATAAAATGTTACCCATTAAAATGAATAACTTTTTCTGAATTGAAAATCCATAATATATTCCTTGGTAGGCACACATACATACATACAAATGTATAACGAGTTTATATGTGCATAAATATGTATGCATATAAAGCATTCTCCATGTATACGAATTCATATTGCGGATCTTTCGCTTGACTCTTGACTTGATGGTATATTTGATGGGAGCACCCGCAGAATTATTGTCAAAATGCAAAAGAGAAGATCATTATTACATTTCACGCTTCCAGGCAGGGATCGTAAAACCGAAACCACAAACCAGTCGAAACGTCAGCGGCGCAGTCGACATCGTTGACGTTGACGTTGACGTCGACGTCGACGGTAACTGCGATAGCGTACCAAATTAATGGAACCACCGCGCAGGGCTGGAGCACTATGGGCAAGGAGGCGGCGGTGTTCGCGACGCAGTTGTGGCAACGGGAACGGGAACGTGAACGGGAACGGGGCCCTGCCACAAGCCCAGGTAAGAAGTGGGACCAACAGAAGAACCTAAAACCAAAGCCGCGTTGTGGGAGAAAGAATAAAACTAACAATGAACAGCGCGAACTGCGACTCCCATTGGAATGATGGCAGCAGCGTGCAATCCAGGCACGTTTGCATATGTGTATGTGTGCGAGTGGAAGTGTATAAAAGTGGCTGTCTGTCTCTCTGTGTGTGTGTGTGTGTGTGCCTGTGTGTTTGTGTTTGGTATTTCGGTTTTGGCCCGCTTGTCTGTACCTTTGCACCGACGCCGACGTCGCGGCTTTATTGCGCTCTTTGTCTACCAGTCAGCTCTGTTCTACTCTGTTCTGCTCTGTTCTGTTCGACTAAGAGCAAGAAGTCATCAAGTCTTAGTGCCGCACGATCGCAAGCACGCACACAAACAAACAAACACACACACACGCACGCACACACTCACAGCTATTGCACACGATCACGATATGCGCAAATAGCCGTTCGGCTTTTGGGAATGGGTACGGGTTCGGGCTTGGATTTGGGTTCGGGTTCGGTTTCGGATTCGGACTCGGATTTGGTTTCGGGTTAGTTCTTGTAATTTCTTTTCTGCTGCCATCGTCACACGACATACATATGCATGTACATGTATATACATTAGTATTTGTATTCTTAGCTGCTTTCGTTGAGCATTCATTCATGTTCACACACATACATATGTATACACCCTGTATATATGTATATAGAGAACTCTCTCTGCCATACATACACACGTGTGTGCACATATGAATCGGCCTTTTGGGCCCGGCCGCCAATTTCCTTTTTAAGCTAACAATCTGGCCCTCTTCACGACATTAGCCATTGTGTACTTGGCCAAGCAACAACCGATCCGTACAGAGCAACTTCAAGCAGAAGCAGCCAAAAGTCCTCAGATTCTATTTGTGTGTTCATTTGGTGCAAGGATTTAAGACGCGTCACTGTGGTGTTTGTGTGTGTGTGCGTGTCACTTTGTACTTTGTGCCTGTGTCTGTTTACGTGTGTATGTGTTGGGTGCGAGTCATCGGCATCGTCCATCGGCTGAATTCGTAACGTGCTGCGCGCATTGGAATAGGAAGTTCACATCGCAACTGGAAACTGGAAATTGGAAGTGTTGGCGTTCTGGAATCAAGCAGTCGCAGCAGCAGAAGAAGTCGCAGCAGCAGCAGCAGAAGCAGCAGCAGCAGCAGCGGGTTTCTTCTTCGACTCTTGACGGTTCGCGGTTGCGTGATATAGCCTGGCTATCAGTTAGTTCAGTCGAAGGCTTACAGTGAACGCGACGAAAAGTGCCAACGGTTCTTCGATCTTTCAACAGCATCTACGCGTTCGTTATTCAAATTCAATTGTGCACAAGAGATCCCCGAGAGTTTCAAACCTCTTGAACAAAATCATGGCCAAAATCATTTTGTTTTGTGTGCTCAGCCTCTTGGCATGCGCTGCAGGTTAGTAATAATATAAGAAAAATTATAAAAATAATACAATTGAAAACAAATTAAATTAATAACAATGTGAAGATTGCAAACATATATTTTTTTAAATACTTATAGCTTAGATTACTTTTGTTTATAAAATATGTTAACAGATATATTATCTGAATTTTTGTCTTTTTTTTTTTTAATAGGATTTTTGAAAGATTGTATTTAGTTTTTACTAGAGTTTTAACTAAAATCTTAATTCGAAGTATTAGAAAAAATTACATTGAATTTTCCAATATTTCTATAATATTCCTTAGGATTATATAATTTCTTTCTTTAAAGCGGCATTCACAAACTGAATAAATCATTTTTATTAACACGTAACCTTCTTCCCTTTTGAATTAAAAACGAATTAACTAAAAGAACAAACTATGTAGATATTTGATAAAGTTTAAGAAGGAATGATAGAGAACCTCCATCATTATTTCAAAGTCATTAAATATGAATTTTCTTCAAGCCGATTAAGCCGAATCGTACCCGCTTTTCAAATGCTTTTTTTTAGAGCTCTAAGCTATTTAGATTTATTTTTTTTCAATCTTGTTCTTAACCCGACCCGATCTCGAGCTGATCGTGCATAATAATCATTTGGCTGCTAACCGGAGGGAAGTTAGGTGCCAACAAATAACTAGGCAGGAGACCATCATTTGATTGCATTTGCGCCGCGAGGCTCGTGAATCGAGATTTGCGATTTGCGATTCGCGATTCGCGATCTGCGATCCGCCATCACCAGAGCTGACTTTGAGTGCATCATTAGAGACGTGCTAGATTCGTGTAGAAACGCTACAGAATGAATATGGGGGCCTGCAAGGAGAGCCTAGCTAGGCAATTACCTGGAATTATAGTGCTCCAACTAAGTTTGGAGTCGAGAAACTGGGCGAACTGCAGTTCAATTATTGGGTTACCTGATGGGCTGTTCATGTAGAGGTCCAAGCCAAATTAGCGGCGATTCAAAATGGGTTCGCAACTGCTTTTCCGCGTCTTCAAGTGAGAAGGGGTGGAAGTGAGAGACGAATGAAAATAAAATCAATTATATTTTAGTTAGTTATCTCTAACAAATATTTGATAATATAATAAAAGTTATTCACAATATTTAGAGAAAAATTAAAAATAGTTATGAGATCGCTAAAGATATTTCTCAGTTCCAAATGCTTAACAATTTATATTATTTTTTAATACTATTAGAAATATTGAGATGAATTTGAGCATGCCGAATATTCTATTCACGAATTATTATATATGCCTAAATATAATTAAAATTATCTGGCATCGCTTCAATAAAAGTACTTAATTAAATTCACTGTTGATGTATTAATTATAATGAGAGTTTATGGTACTTTGAGTCTTTATTCATTCACTTCAGTATAGGAAAAAAAAGATCCGAATCTAGATACAGAATGCATATATTCATTAACTGTCCGCCTGTCTGTCTATCTGTTCATCTGTTTGTCTGTCAGTGCTACGTTTACTTTGACTTCGGTGTGTTTGTGTCTTGCATTTAAAATTGCCGGAAATAATTTCATATACAAGCAGAAGCGAGGCAAACATTGGACCCTCACATAGGGTCTACAGGGTAGTATCCATATAGTTCTCTGTTGCCTATCCATGACCAATTCCATAAATAGGCTCTTCCGTTTGGCTAGAGCCAACGAATCAGCATTGAAAATGAAAATATAGCTAAAGCTGTTTGTACAACCAATACAACTGCACACACACCCAGATTGTTGTTCTTGTTGTTGTTGTTTAGCATGGTCATGAGGTATTCGACCATTCAAGCCAGCTACCTGTCAGCTCATGTCCAAGCAAAGTCAACTCATTGTCATCTTTGAGAGTCCCAGACGATTATATAAGAGAAGAATGAGAAGAAGGGGGTAAATAGAAATCCCAAAAGCTGAAAGATACTTTATTATTATTCTGGATACCTTCTAAAAACATTTTTCTTGGCATTGAGCTAATTAATGTCATCATCGCCATTATTTTTCATCAGATTTTATGTAATTAGCTTAAGTATCTGTATCTGTATCTGTATCTGTAGTTGTCCATCTGTACCTTTGTGTATGTGTCTGTGTATTTGCTGCGGGTCATAGACCGATAAATGCTTCTGTTCATCATCATCATTATCATTGCCATGAATCATCAAGCACTTGACTCTAACTCTGTTTTCCCTTTGTCCAAGTCCGAGTCCAAGTTGGTCTTCTGCTTTTTATAGAACCGTGTGTTTGTCATTCGGATTGCTCGTTTTGGTAATCCTATTTAATGATATTTACTTTGGATACGATTACGATTTCGATTCCCATTGCCGTTACGGTTACGCATTGCGATTGTTCAGTATTCAGAGCGGATTGTCTCATAGGTTCATTGACCTACGATTTTGTTTTTTGTTTTCATGGAATTTGATTTGATTTCTGTGGTCTTCTTCTTTTCTTCTGCTTTGGATTAGGTCAACGCATTACGACTATACATTTGGATGGTGTGCAGTACTTTATCAGTCGTATGAATCCGTATTCACCGGAGCTAAACTATTTCTTGGCCTATCAATACTGCCGATCACTGGGCCTGCAATTGGCCTCTTTCGAGACCAAGGAGAAGGCCGAGTCGATGACTACATATCTGAAGAATGCCGGCTATGGCAATTATGATTTCTGGACCTCCGGAAATCGTTTGGGCACGGGCATGTTCCTATGGATGAGCACCGGACTACCGTTCAATGCGACATTCGATTTCTTCGAGAATTCGGCCGATGCCATCCAAGCGGGCCTGCTCGATCCCGTCGATCACAATAGCAACACCTCGCCACAGCGCACGGCACGCGACAGGTAAGACATGATTCGATTCTCGGGATGACCACATATTGAGGCGGCAGGACACATTTAACTTGAGGCTACCTAAAATTGTTTTTGTCTATATAGCAGCAGTGGTGCCGAGAAGGGCTGCGTCATACTGAAGCAGCCGACGTTGAAATGGATGCCCGAGGACTGCTCTGCCGTAAAGGATTTCATTTGCGAACAGACCCGCTGCTATTATTACAACTATGGCAGCATTCCGGTATCGTCTGCGCAGGGGTAAGGACTACTAGACAGAGAGAAAGAGAGAGTGAGAGAGAGAGAAAGCAACGAAAAAAAAAGCAAATATCTAAATTATAAATCATAAAGGAAAATATAACTTAAAAACTACGTCTACAATTCCCTCCTCTAAGTAAAATAAATCGAGCTATACGAATGCTTAAGTTGCACTTTAAGCATAAATCCTTAATTAAGTATATAAACAGCCAAGCCAACCCAGCCCAAAATAAATATTTATATAACGAATAACGCAATGATACGTGATTGATAAAACAAGTTAATTTAGTTGACCACAAAACGAAACAAAAGATATCAAACAAGAAAACAGAAACAGAGACTCACTATGGAACGTTGCCAAGCGTTCAGTTCAAAAAGTAATACAATACTTAATCAAATAGGTGAGCTAAACCCCAAATCGTTAAACTATACAATTATTACACACATATGCCATACAGATATGCAGATCCTGAACCTAGTTCTGGCTCTGCGTATCTGTATCTATGTTATATACCTAATACAGAAGACTAATGCGCAGCTACCAGCCTATTTATTACTAACTTAAAGAACACTACCAATTTTAATACATATACATATATATACATACAACAATTCGAGGTTTAAAGAAAATATTTCAAACCCGAAATTTGAGAAATCTAAACAAAAAGTATATCAATTTGTGCAAGCAACGAGAAAAATAATGAACAATTTTTTTTAAGCTAATAATGTTTGCAAGATATGAAAAAAATGTAATACAAAAATATATTGAAACATTTTAAAACAACCAACAAAAAAATAGAATGAATGCTAAATATTAAAAAAATAAAATACAAACAATTTTTTTTTGAAAGATCGTTAAAATGAAAACAAACAAAAGTAAAACAATATAGATATAAAAAAAAAAATAATTGAATAGGCTGAAAACATAACACTTCAAAATTTTTCGAGAGGTTTGCACAAATTGGAGCCATTTGAGCGTCACTTTCGAGACTCCTATTGAAATTTGGTGGTTTGGGGCTTAGCTTCTCCTATAGAATGTTGTTGCTGTTGTCGTTGTTGCTGTTGTCACTAAGATTTGTGCTCAACTAACTAACTTTAGCTTCAGACTCGCACTTTCGCACTAACCCAAATGCCAAGCTCGCTGCAAGTCAATCGGCCTACTATGTAACACACTGATGTACATGTATACACATGTACACATGCATTGCTAATATATAAATACATATGGTTATGTACATATATGTAATCTTGGTTTATTTTGTTCCGCCTGCTGCAGACGCCCCATTACTTCAACCACACCACGCACACCTGCCGATCTGTTGAACCTGCCATCGACCACGCCACTGCCCCTCATCATGTCCACCAGCGCCGGCAGCGGCAGCGGCAGCGGCGGCGGTTTGTTTGCCAAGCCCAAGTCGTCGATGTCGATGTCCGATTCAGCTCATCAGCCGTCGACTGTGTGGTTCAAGCTGAATCACGATCGCTCGCTGGCTGATGCGGATGCCGCCGATGTGGATGGCGACCTGGAGGCTGATGTGGAGGAGCACGATGATGCTGATGGCGAGACTGATTTCGATGAGCATGAGCACGAGCATGAGTCTGGCGATGCCTCCAACGAGCACGCACGCGAGCTGGGCGATGCCGACGGGGATGTTAAGGAGCACGTTTTTCCACTAAACGACAACGAGCTGCACAACGAAATGCATTCGATCGAGGAGCTACAGCTGCAGCTGCAGGCTCAGGCTAACGAGGAGCAGCCCGAGCATGAGGAGGATGCACCAGAGGCGGATGAGAATGCCAGTGCAGACCATGAGTCGGAAGCTGACGCTGAGTCGGAATCTGAGCCTGAGGCGGACTCGCACTTCGAGTCGTCGGCCAGGGTCAGCGATGCACCAGCAGCCAAGCTGCCCAGTTCCACAGAGTCGCCGGCCATCGAGGTGCGTCTCAAGCAGATAGCACAGGATTTCGAGAAGATGACCAGCTCCCAGGAGCTGCAGCGCGCGGCTGCTGCAGTCGTCAGCAAGGATGAGATTACGCCACAATCATCGCTCTCACTCAGCGATCTCATACGCACGCTGCGTCCCAACGAGCAGCAGATCATACCACAAATCGACTCCGACTACTCCAATGCAATGCGTGTACTGGGCAAAACATCCGCCGTGGTTGGCAACGAGGACTCACGCAAGTTCAAGGTGCTGCCCGAATCACACAACTTCTAGGAAACCTAAGGCATAAGTGCGAAGTGTAGGCTTCAGTTTTGTGGGGCACTGTCGTGGGTTCCACTGAGGAATGTTCATTAACGATGCCCAGAAGGTGCCCAATGGCGCTTCTCTCTGCGGACCCACCACAGCTAACACATACTCTCTCTCCATAGATATTAATTAATTACAATTTGTCCAATCCGAGCTGAGAGTCTGACACACTTCTTATATACTACTTACTATATTACTATATAATAATATATGCTTTAATTGTATGACAAAAAATAAAAACTCTTGATTAATAAAACGAATTTGGTAAATGTAAAAACGAGGCCTTTCAAATAGCTCCCCGAGGTGTTAATGAGTCGTACTGCAAACGCTTTAATAGCTTAACAGCCAATAATCGTAAATTACTTGACTGAAGTTAGGCGATGAATCAGAGGGTCTCTGCAGAAAAGTGCAAATCATTTTTCTTAATTTAAAGAGGATTAAAAGTGCTAAAACAGAAAACGAAGCTGAAGCTGAAGCTGAAGCCGAACCTGAACCAATGTCGGACTGTTTGTTGGTCAGTGAAGTCAGTTGATTGTGGACAGAAGACATTAACCAGAGGGCGAAGATGTCTGCCAAAGGAACACCGTCTGCAGTTTAGCTCTAAAGCCAACTTCAACTGCTGCTCAAACAATGAGTCGAGTTCGTTTGAACTGACTGATGCGAAAGGCAGTTTTACACCTGCCCATATACCTATGCATATATGCGCATCTATATATTGTATGTATTTGTGTATATGTGTATGTGTATGTGTATGTGTTGGTGTTTGTGTGCAGACTCTTGGTTCGTCGAATAACCTTGAAAAGTTTTGCTGGGTCCAACGAACGTATAAAAAAGAAAAAAGAAGTTTCTCTTTTCTTGCTGAAACGGCAATCTCAGACACACAAAAAGGTAAACATTCCTCACGTACATCTTTGAGCAGCTACAACAACAACAACAATAAAAGTAACAGGGATAACTGAGTGCGGAACTTTTTCCTTTTCAGTTTTTATGGCCTGCACCCAAATGTTAAGAATTTTTGTATATTAAGATTATATGTAATAATAATAAAAACTGTATTATAAATGTCTGGTCGTTAACGCTACGAAACTCAGGTTTATTTGGTCTTTTACATTATAGTATATAGAAATTATTTGGAAAACCCTTGTTATTACAAACAGCTTGAAAGCCTATAAAATCAGCTCTATGATACGAAAGAATGCCTTTTCTTTAATCCGACAGATTATTATACGAATCAACATATAATAGCCATCTAAACTAGCGTAAGACATGCCAATCGTTGCATAGGAAAAAATACATTAGGACTATGAAAACCACAATGTGTATAATGCAAGCCATATAATCTGGAGAGTTTGACATGTATTCGTCGGAATAAAACATTTTCATTGACGATTTATTATCTTTAGCATCCAGATAATCGACTCGCTGTCTCTTAGCATCCAATATGCTCATAATATCGGCGTGATTCAGAATCGACTTATCCAATAAAATGGGCTTACCACTGAAATTAGTTAGATGTCCATAATCGTCAAACTATAAATGGGGATATTTAATGCAAATAAATATGTAAGATTGTAAATTCCATAAAGATAAATCAAAGAAACCAAATCAAATGACAAAAGATTGAATTAATCCTTAGAAGATTCCCTATGAGACTATAAGCTACCCAAAAGACTACTTACTACTACTAGAGGATCTTATAGAATACTTTTGATTAGGCTTAAAAATAAATACAACTTTATAACTTTGACAAAAGTACATAAATTACAGCACACACTTAGCTTTCCTAAGCGCACACTTAGCTTTCCTAAGGAAAGTTGTCAATTCGACCAGGTCGTCATGGAGTTCGTGATTGCCAAGCGACTATAGAGTAGAGTAGATAAACATTGATGGCAGAGTAAACAAAAATGTATAGGTTTTATATATGGATCTTACCAAGGCATCGGGATGTATTATATTCAAGAGATCAGCTGTCCATTCCCCCTTATGGGCTGTTTACCAATTGATGCCGTAAAAAGTATCGCCTTAAGATAAAGCGTTGCACCCTTAACTCGAGCCCTGTTCACACTTTAAATTATCCAAGAGTTAGTTTGCATTTTACTTGGGTTTGTCCAAATAACAAATTATCTTACACTGTAGCTACCCTACCCAATCCTCCAAAACACAAGCCCTTCTCATCGTCACCTGAGGGACACCGCTGACAGCTGGATCGTATCGGGCGTGCATATCATTATTATGTAAGATTGTGAAGCTAAGACACTGAACGTGTGAGAACAAGAATGTTAAAATTATTATAAAACGCAAAACTATTAAGCAATCCATGGAAAGAATCCAGTAAAGTTGCTATTATTTTATTGTTGAATGTAAACATGTTGCCAGATAAAACAAGTGTTACATTGTGAATCAAATTATACAAAATATATCGATTCTAGAATAACCGTGTGTTTTAAGCTTAAATTTATTCAGCTTGCCTGTGCTTATAAAGCAAAACAGCCTCTGGTTCTGTTTAACGTAATGTTTGCAGTCATGTATTGCAACAAGACGTAACATAACGAATTTTTCAATGACTCTGTTAAATGACAGTTCAGATTATTGTCCAATAGCGCTTAATACCATTTGAAACTGAAGGTGCTTTGAAGATCTTGCACGACAACGTTCAGAGCTTCTTTCCTCTCTCGAGCCCGCCAGACGCGTGTCCAATATATTTAGTGTTTGTCCACAAGATTTCAAGATGCCGATAAGTCAAATGCGAGCTGCTTGAGGTTTGTTCGTTCGCTTAATCGACTCAAGGCCATATTCAAGGTAAATATCGAATCAAAACAAATATCCTCAAAGATTGTGCACAACAAAATAATTTATACCTAATATTTGGCCTTTCTATATATCATTTTTCTTCAACGATTACATACATACATACATTCATACAAATTAGTTGTAGCTATAAGTTTATATAACTTTTTAAAACCAAATATAGTATACATACATTATGTTCTTCTTGATGATGGCAATGAGTCAGAGCATTAAAATTATGCACATAATTTAAATGACTTGAAATTCAAAAAAATACTATGACTATATACACATATTAGAATTAATTAAAAATACGATTTACTACAACTGTAAATAGCATCAATGCTAAGGAACTCAACGTGTTTTTTATGGAATCAGATCCCGACGATTTACTTTTGCCGGAGCCTATGAATTGGATGCGACCTTCGACATCGGGATAAATGTATTTACGTTCCTGCAGATATTGACGAACTGCTTCAACAATAGTTTTTTGCATACGTATGGACACAGGATTAACCCGATCAATCAGAACGTGTCCGTCGCCACCATCGACCAGAAACTGTGGCACAATCACCTTATAGTAGGCGCTGTCGTTCAGATAGCTGTACGATGGCACCAGGCAGTCGGCGCAGCGCACTTGCACAGACACAACTCGTTTACCCTCTGGCATATCTGGATTGTAGACCACGTGAATGCCGGATACTTGAAGGAATGCTCCATCTGAGTCCTTGAACCTAAGTGCAGCGGAACGCTCCAAAGCGATCCTCAAGGTTTTGCCAGTGATTCGTGTGATATAAAGATCGTTTTCAAAGGGCAGCACGGTAAGCAGATCACTCTGTGTTATAGTGCCATCGGGTTTTCGATCGATTGAACTACGTATACCTGAAATAAGAGAGTTAATACGTCAAAGTTGCTCTGAATTTATGGCACGAACTTACCGCCGCCTTGATGCAAGGCAATAGCTGCATCTGTCCAGTAATCACCGCCCTGATCTTCCAGTACACGGCTGAATATCATTGCATCCGTAATTAGATTTCCCATATTACACTCTACAGAACGACAATAGTTCTTACGGCCCTCCAAATACACTTTCGTATGGCCAACCACAGACTTCTCCAGGGCAGTAATATTCTCTCTGTACATCTCTAACAGATCTAGTACATCCTTCTCTTGCGCCACTCGAGCATCAAGTAATATCGGCGAGCCATCGAACTCAATGAGATTTCCATCTTTATCGAACTGTTAAAATTTCTCAATGTACATATATTTCATAGAACTGTTTTAGATTCGACTTACCTTCACATGCAATTTCCCCAAATACTTTGTGTAGGCGTAGGCCTGTACGACAAGAACTCGTTTTCCGCTCTTCTGTGTTATTATAGTCGGATATGGACCGTCAATACTTTCGACGCTTGGCTTTGTTCCATTGAACAAGAATGTGTTCGTATGTCCGCCTATGACGATATCGACTTCGGGACAGTTTTTAGCTATATCCTGATCCTTTTTATAACCAGAGTGTCCTAAAGCAATAATAATTCTATGGCCCTGTGCCTTAAGCCTAGCTGCCTCTGCGCTGAAATTAGAAAACTTATGTAAGACTTGGATATATATGTGCGTGAGAAAAAAGTGTTAATAGTTTTTTTTACTAGAAATTTTATTTCACAATTCTATTCTATTATCATAAAATTAGTTCATAGTACTTACTTGATAGAAACAATCTCCTCATTAAACTCCACATCGTTTTTTATTGAAAGCGATTTCGTGTCAGGTGTTAAATATCCAATCACAGCAATTTTTGTGCCATTTGCATCGAGTATAGTTGAATGGGCAAAATTTTTAGAGGCAGCTATTGCTGGTTCCTTGGTAAGGTTGAGATTGCAGGCCAAAACAGGAAAATTTACGTCATTCAGAAATGGTATTAGACCCTCTACCTTTTCATCAAACTCATGATTGCCCAGAGACTGCAATAAAAATATTATAAATTAATAAATCATTTAAGTGCATTTTAATAATGTGTTTCACCGTGGCATCTGGTTGCAGTCTGTTGAGAAAATCGCTGGCAATTTTATTTTTAAAGACTGCAAACCATGCGGTTCCGGTATACGTATCACCGGCATTCAAATAAAACACCGGAATTCCGCCATTTTTAGCCTCGGCACGATATTTGCGGACTCTGCAATAAAATAATATTCGTCAGTTGAGCAATAAAATATATTTAATACAATTTACTCATGGGCAATACGCGCAAAGCCGCCGAAACATTTATTGCTTTTGGCATCCTCCGGAGAACAGCTTTCGCTGTTGACATTCGTCTGCTCGAACCTCCCGTGCATATCATTGTTGTGGAGTATTAAGAACTCGGTGGCTACTACAGGCTTCACTTCTATAGGATTTGCCGTTATCCAATTGGTATGGAACCAGAGAAGTGCCAAATATTTCCATTGCATAATCATTTTATCTCTATATTCCTCTAATAAAGAAAAGAAAACATTACAATGGATATTTTATTGAAATTGTTAAGTTGTTGTCTCTTATAGGTTCTATACGATATGATAGAATATAAACACTTAAAATTATATAATATGCTAAATTTGCTGATTAAATATTCAACTATTTAACTATAGATTATCAAAGGTGTTTTGAATATACTCTATCGTGACATCCGTTTTTTCCCTAGATTATAGTTATACAATGAATCAATTACTCATAAATTGAAAAAGAGCAAAAACTGCTATCTATTAGGTTGTCAACGTATTGCCATGCGAAAAGATACAATTATAAATAATTTAGTAATTCAAGAGTCAATTATTAATGTAGTCTTTTATTCAACCTATCTTTTTTTACACAATTATCCGAAGTAAAAGTAAACAAATTTTTGCGTGATAATAATATCCATTAATTAAAGGGACTTTATTTGAACTATCATATAAGTTACATTTGTGTGCTTTTCGCATCTTTATTATCAAAGTTACTTGTCTAGCTTTGAGATAGTTCAAGCTTAATTTATTTGCAGTCTTCATAAACGACTTAATCAAATTTAAGTTTGCTGATTCCAAATGATTATTGTAGCTGTACATAGTATCATTTTATCTTTTTGTCAACTGCTAATTGGAAGACATAAACACGATTATATTATAAATATAAATGCATCTGTAGTTTCCTTCCATCATCTATTGACTAAGGGTAATAGTTTTATCTTTCATAAAACAAGTTATCTGTATTGCCTCTTTAACATTTATATCCGAGCAAGCCTCACACTGAGCGTTCCACTTTAATAAACAAGTTTTTGCTTTGAACAGTAAATATTTGTAGCCCAGCTAATTTGTTTATTTAACAATGATTTAAAATGTATTCAGTCTTATAGCGTATACTGCTTCCACCTCAAAAATTACGTTTTCATTTTCTATAGATGTCAATAACATTTAAATAAAATCTCCCGCTGTTTTTTCTTAAAATACCTTGCCGAGCTGCTTTTTACAAAAATTAAAATCTTAAACCTTAAATACCCGATAAACAAGGGTTTCATGTGTAGAAACAGAAATCAATTTAATGTTAATAACAATTAGTTTGTAGTATATATGTATATTTAATAACAATTAGTTTGTAGTATATATATTTACTACAAACTAATTGTTATTAACTTTATATAGCCCGATGATTGCCTTTAACGTTTTGTATTAATGTATGTACATATATTAAAGAACATTTACTTTAACAATTAGCCAATTTTATATTTTATTGCCACAGCAAATTAGTAATGATTTGAAGTGTTGTTTAGCATGAATATAAACTCATTTTGTAATTTTCAATAACATATTATATATTATGCCGTCAACATTCAAATAACTTAAAATAATCACATGAAAACCAATTTTCACGCTTCACAATTGCCATGACATGGAAAACTCAGAACCGTTACCTAACTTACAAGCAATTACTTTGAAAGCGGGTAACCACTCCACGAGAGCTTGTTTATTTTCTAATATACACTCAAATAGTACGTGTATGCACCCATGCCAAAGTCTTGTGTAAAGGCTACTTACAATAGGCAAATTCGAATCGATTATGAAAACTGTAAATTATTGGTTGCCTGGAAACAGGACCACTCCTCGCTGATGTAAACAAATGCTACTTCACATTCGCGAAGATCACAAAGCCAACTTGTTCGCGCTGCCAGCGAACCAACCGTCGAAGCCAACGTCCACAGTCGCACTGTCTGCGATTCGATGGCTTTCAAATGCCGCCAGAGAGTCGAGTGTGTTCAAACAAAGGCGCAGACCTCGTGCGCTCTTTGAGTGCACCGCCGATCGGTCGTTTATAGAAATTGTGATACACTTGCGGTTCTTATTGGTGCTGAGCAGAGTGGAGCGAAAACAACGCAAAGCACAGAGACCGGCGTGCTCTGTGACCTTTGAAAGAATAGAGAGTGAGATTAAGAATGCAATATAGACATGCTTAAATGAGAGCAGGCAAGATAATTTACGCTCTGTTTGAGTTGCCTTTCGATCGATCGCTAATTTAACGACATTTATACTACTTCTATTTCTGCTTGGCAAGCGAAACATCCACGCCAAATGAAGAGAAGCGATAAATAAGAGGTGAGCGGTCTGGCGCAGAAAGCCAAGGCGAGAACGTTTGGGTGAGGGAGAATGAGAGTGAGAGTAAGAATCTAATCTAAGAGAGTGTCCAAGTGAGAGTCTTAGTGATAAGGGGCATGGGAACGGAAGTATGAAATAAAGCACATCATTGGAATTACTTACAGTTGCGTTAGCTGTAGCATATCGACTCTTTAAGTGCGATATCAGACGCATGCATGCACAATTTATCTATATTTGTACAATCTACATACATACATACATATCTTGGGACGGTGTTCAAATTAGATTGAATAATTTTGTAATTCGCAGACGCATTGAATCGGAAATTAAAGTAAAGTGTCTGTGAAAAGGATTTAATTTTAGAGCGCACATTCTCCAGACCAACAGAAGAACCGAACACATGTCTAGTTTATGCAGGGCATATCACGATAAGCATACACAGTTTGATTCCATTTCATTCTAGTTTTGCCCGATCTGAATTTCATTTACTTACGCAAAATAATAACATTTTAAAATTGCAAAACATTCAAAGTGATAAAAAATTAACTTATCTCAAGTTGAGATTGGACTATAAGTTATTATGATAATAAACTTTACTACATGAACGTAATCTGTTAACGTCTCGATGGCTCTGTTCTAGTATTTGCCGCCACACGTGCTGCTATAAATATAAATGAGACGAAAGACTTTTCGATGGCTAGGTAATGCGTGGAATATTGTGCTAGAGATCTGTAAAGGCATTACGATATTTATTGTACATTCATCATCTAATAAATTCAAACTTTTGTATTATGTACATTTAACAGTTGGGATACGTATTCTGTTCAGACATATGTATGTAGTTACAGTTAGCTATAAACTAGTTAAAGAAACGTGTGATCAAGGAAGACAATAGAATCAAGGCCACAGAGCCAAAGATGCTACCAGCAGCATCCTTGGGTCCAATGATAACGATGCGACCCTCGATCTCGGGATAAACGTAATGGCGCGCCTCCAAGTATTCGCCAAATGCAAATTGATCGTTTTTCTGCAATAGCTCAGTGTGCGGGTTATTTTCTTCAGTGAGAACATAGCCATCGCCGCCGTTCAGTAAGAACTCCGATATGATGACATTATAGTAGGCAGACATGTTAAGGTTGCTATAGCTAGGCACATTGCACTCGGCACAGCGCACGAGAGCAGAGGTCACACGATGACCCTCCTCCATGTCGTAGTTGTACTCCACTCGCAAACCCGCAAACTGAAGAAAGCCTCCGTTCGAGTCAAGGTTTCGAACATACGCCGATCGCTCGAGGGCTGCATGCAATGTTTTTCCAGTTATGCGCGTCAAATAGAGCGTATTCTCGAAGGGAAGGGTTGTTATAATATCGCTGCCAGTAATCGAACCAATTGAGTTCTTGTCAATGGATGCTCGTATTCCTAAAAGAGAAACATATGAATCATATATCATGGGAATATAAAAATGTGCAATTGTATCAAACTTACCGCCTCCTTGGAGCAGAGCTATGGGTGCATCAGTCCAGTAGTCGCCGCCCTTGTACTCTAGCACCCGAGCGTGAACCATGGAATCGGCAATCAGATTGCCCAGATTACATTCCCTTAGGCGGCAAATATTGCCACCCTCTAGGGTGACCTTCGTGTAGCCCACGATTTTCTCCTCCAATCTCGTGATATTTGGCCGATAGACTTCGAGCAAATCTAACAGCTCTTGATCCTGAGACACTGATGCATTCAGCAGAATTGGTGCTCCGTCGAACTCAATTAAATTCCCCTCGGCATCGAACTAGCGTACAAGTGTAAATTTTCTACTGTATCAATCATACCATGTATAAGTCTAATCACAACTAACCTGCACGTGAATCTTTCCCAAGTATTTTGTGTAAGCATAAGCCTGAACCACTGGCACCTTTTTTCCGCTCTTCTGAACCACTGTGGTGGGATAGGGTCCTCGCACTGCTTCAGGATTGGCGTCGTTCTTGTCTGCAACAGGTTGATTGGCGTCCAAATAGGTGTGCGAATGACCACCAATGACTATATCCACCTCGGGACACTCTCTGGCAATATCCTGATCTTTTTGGTATCCGGAGTGACCCAAGGCAATAATAATTTTAATGCCCTGAGCCTTTAACTTCTCTGCTTCAGCACTGGAAGTAGATGATTTCGTTTTGATTTATCAAAACTATTACAAGAAAGACTCGAGCGAAATTACTTGATCGATACGATTTCCTCTGCAAATTCCACGTTGTTTTGGAAGGAAAGATCTTTGGTATCTGGAGTCAGGTAACCGATTACACCAATCTGAACTCCATTGCTCTCCAGTATCGTGGAGTTGGACAGTTTCTTAGCGGCAGCCAATCCCGGTTCCTTCGACAAGTCCAAATTGCAAGCCAACACAGGGAATTCCACGGCGTTAAGGAACGGAATTAGGCCTTCGACGTTCTTATCAAACTCGTGATTACCCAGCGACTATCAAATGGAAAATACGAACAAAACAATAAATTAAACAAATCAAATTTATAATCCGAATCGCACTCACAATAGCATCCGGCTGTAACATGTTGAGAAAGGCGCTCGTAATGTTGTCCTTAAAGACTGAGAACCAGGCTGTGCCGGTGTAGGTGTCACCTGCATTTAAATACAGCACAGGTGTGCCTCCCTTCTTGGCCTCCTCACGGTATTTGCGAACTCTGCAAGAATTTGAGTATATACCATGAATCATCGTTCAGTCGCGTCAAGTCGAATTACTCACTCGGTGGCAACACGTGCAAATCCGCCGTAGCACCTGTCCGTATTGGCATCCTCCTTGGAGCAAGTGCCTCCATTCTTGTTTGTCTGCTCAAATCTCGCGTGCATATCATTATTGTGCAAGATAATGAGCTCTGTTGCTACACTGGCCTTCGGAGTAATGGGATTGGCATAAGTGTGGCTCAACAGCAAAGTACATGCCACGATAATCAGCTGATAAGTCATACTCGACCTGAAGAGCTAAGTACATACATATGTACATAAACATACGTGGTATATATCAGGTTAATTTTTTTTTAATATAGCAATTCGATCTGAGATTTTAATTGCAACTGTCAGCAAATAAGTAAGTATAAGCTCTGCGCTCTGTGGGGCTGATCAATGCAGTGATAAGTCAATCAGAATAAACAATATATTCATTATCATTAATATCTAAGTAAAATTAAATGTCATATTCAATTCAGAAAAACTGTTATCTAAATCAGCTTATCAAAAACAAAAACCACAAAAACAATCAATCTTCAGGTTTATTATAGCGTCTAAATCTAATCACTGGGTATACTAAGCCATCGTACATGGCTGACGCGTATGTAATACGTGGAACGTCAGAACTCAAATTTTCGTTCATTCATATTGATTTATGATGTATGTTTTAGTTCTAATTCTATTTACTGTTACGTATAACAAATAGTTGGGCATATAATATGTACCGAGTACTATTGTTATATGTGAATGGCTAACAATTAGCGGATGTTTCTGCGTAGGCTAAAAGAATGAATCTATGCTGGAAGCTATATACCGCAAGTACTTTACTCTCTCTCTCTCTCTCTCTCACTCTCACTCTCTCATCTTTTGTTAGCACAATAATACAATTGACATTTGCACGATATCATCTGGCACGGGTAATTGCTCTTAAATTACTTTTACAGATCGCTGAAGCCGCTGCTACTTACATGCTCTTCTCGCACAATCCGCCAACAAACTGGCCCGAAATCGTATGGAGCAGCGGCTATAACCGAAACACTTGAACTGAGGAGCGAACGATTACGATACGAGCAGCGCGTGGTTGTGACTGCCTCTTTATTGTTGTTGATGTTTTTTCCCGTTTTTTTTTTTTTTTTTTTTTTTTTTTTTTTTTTTTTTTTTTTTGTTTTTTTTTCCCTTTTTTTTTTTTTTTTTTTTTTTTTGTTTTTTTTTTTTTTTTGGCTCTGTTTCAGGTAGTGGCAATGATTTTTAATAGCTGTATTGTATTTCGTTTTTGCTCAGTAGATACGAGCACTACGACTCTAATAATTATTGCTCTTTCCGATTATCTCTTCGAATTTGTATTAGTTTTTGTAGTTGTTGTTGCATTTGTCAAGCAGATAGAGCGCTTATCACCTGCCGAATCTGTATAGCAACTGGTGTCAATTCACTTAGCTAGCTGATAAAAAAGAAATGTATTCACAATTTGCAGAATATTATAAATATATAAATATGCTTGTATACCTATAGACAATACTGTCATTTCACAGGCACGAAAGGCCTACATACAAAGTGTCACTTATCCCAAACAGCTGCTTCAACAGAACGTGACGTTCCCACGCAAACATCAACAACAATCCAATCATACACATATGCTCTTTTCGTGTATTTGTTTCAGCTACTGTAACTTTCGCAACCGTTCAAATATGTGTACTCATACACATTCATAGCTCATATTTTAGTGTCAGCACGAAATACCAAAAAACAGCCGCTTTGTGAACTTGCAGTCACAAAAAGTTCAAGAATGTTTAAATAAAGATCTCTACAACAAACATTACACAGTCCAAACAAAAGTATGGTAACCAAAAATCGAACTATGCATTGCGAAAGCGTTTTGATTGTCCTTATATGGGACTATCATAGAAGCTCTTTAAAGTTGATCAAATGTACATATTTATTTATCACTGCGAGATTATCATTTAAATGCATTGATCAGCTGCTCTTAACCAACTCTCGAATTTTATATTAATATAAAATGATTTTTGGTTATTAAATTTCATCAAGTTTTGTTGGCCTGTGTTATTTATGTTTTCCAAAAACTTCTTCAGCTATCAATATTTGATTCGTCAATGTGACAACAAAGCAGCATGTTTGTGCTCCCAATTGTAAATCATCAGAAAATCTGAAATATGTATGTCTCTCTTTATCATTCAAATTTATTATGTATGTACATATGTATGTAGAATACTGGCACAGCGTACAGACTCGTATGCCTGAATATATAACATAAATTTTGTTTTTTCTAGTTGGCACAAAATATTTATTAGGCTTTCTTCCAGCTATGTATATGATGATGTTCTTAAGTTCTTAAAACGTCTGACAACTTCCGCACGGTAATATCTTAATACTTTTACTGATTGCTTCCATTTGCCACGGTATTTTACGTATCGGTTTATAATATTGAATTATATATAAGAGGTATTTGAACTAATTATAGGGTCATATTTGGTAATATAAATATGGTCCAGCAGAATTGATGCGGAATACCATTGCAAAGAAACAAATTTTTTTCAATTTGGGGTTTGCTTTTCTAATAATCATTAAAATCATAAGGATGAGCAGGTAAACATGACTAACAGAGCTTAACCCTCATCCTGATCATATTGTCTATTCTTAGGGAATTGTAGCGGCTTATCTGGTCAAACCATTGGATCGAGCTGCCAGTTGAATTTACTGAATTTTGTTTCCCTGTCTTTCTATCTCTTTCTCTTACTATGTGAGAGTGCTGAGCCCGGAGCAGAGAAGCCCGGTAGAGTTTTCAATTCTAGTATTTCCTTGGCCTCCACATTTTATAAAGTGTAAATAAATGGCGTTCCTATTTGCTTTGTTATATTCAATATGGAAATGACAACACTGATGTAAATAACTGTTTATCTTATCTCTGCAATGCGAATACTATTAGAGCAATCTAGATAGTCTGTTTAATTTATAAAATAATCAAGGCCACAATCATTATTTGACTATCGAGAAGTTCACCTAATTTACTTATGACACATTCTAGCTAAAAGTGCTAAAATATTTCATTATCACTTTATTCGTCATGAATTCAAAAAGTATTTATTTATTTATTATAAAAATAGTTTATAATAGATAATAACAAAACACATGAGTATAATTCCTTACTTGACTTTAAAAGGGATCAATAAATTTTATAAGATATATATATATATATATATAT